TGTTTACACTAGTCATGGCCCAAATTTGCTCGGCCTACATCGATATTTTGCCCCAAAATTTCGATATTCTGCTTGGCATTTCCTTTCTCCGTCGGTATTTTGCTTTGGTTTTGCTCGAGATGAAATGAGTTTTAAGGAAAACTCAACGATACTTGTCGCTGATGACGACGACATTTTTGATTGAGCTCCTGCTGCTGCTCAACTTTCCACTGAAATGTAGCCATGAGTCTGTTTTCTACAACTTCTGCGCTTGTTTTCAACCTTGGTGACTGATTGTGTTGAGAAAGTCCCTAAGAAGCCTTGGAATTTTCGAAAAGCCCACCAACACTCGATATTTTGCTCAAAACTTGCCGGAAACTTGCGCATCCGATATTTTGCTCAAAGAATTGCTAGCAAATTTGGGCTATGACTAGTTTACACCCTCCATGCCATGTTTACACCCTCCATGCCATGTTTACACCCTCCATGCCATGTTTACACCCTCCATGCCATGTTTACACCCTCCATGCCATGTTTACACCCTCTATGCCATGTTTACACCCTCCATGCCATGTTTATACCCTCCATGCCATGTTTACACCCTCCATGCCATGTTTACACCCTCCATGCCATGTTTACACCCTCCATGCCATGTTTACACCCTCCATGCCATGTTTACACCCTCCATGCCATGTTTACACCCTCCATGCCATGTTTACACCCTCCATGACATGTTTACACCCTCCATGCCATGTTTACACCCTCCATGCCATACATAGAGTATAAAAGGCTAGGGTATGGCCAGGCCAATTAAAAACTGCCTCCACCAGTCCTGGTATACTTGCCAAATTTAAAACGCGAAATGATCTCATGATCTGATGCAGTCAATCTGTGTAAACCAGCCCAGACTAATAGAGCACAGTAGATGCCTAAACAGCATGGTGTAATGACGAAACGAAACTGCATGACGTAATTGCTCATCACCTCTTTCACAGATTTGGTATTATGGAAAGTTTGGAAACCCCCTCGATAGGCGAAAGCCTTTGGGGAATCCTTAAACAATAAAAATTACAAATTACAAATTGCATGACATAACAGCATGGTGTGACCACTTGTGCAAGGCACCGGATATAACTATTACCTGAGCAAATGACGTGAGCAAACCCACGGTGTAAGGCTCGGCCGGCTGCATCTATTCCGACAGGAGTCCCAAAGGAGTTTCTGTACCATGCATACACATTTGAGTTGCTTCCATAAATGCTGGACTCCCGCAGAAAGTCCAGTAGACATTTGGCGGACAACGGTCCAGGTATGCTAGTCAGTGATGAATCCACCTCCCTGCAAATTTGTGCAGCCTGTGGACCGTTTTGGAGTCCATTGTTCCAAAGCAGTGATGCAGGGGAAAACAGATACGAGTCGGTTTTGCACACCCGTAGTAAGTAGTATGGAGATGCCGTGTGCAACTGCAATTTTTCATTACGGTACCATTCTGAACAGAACACATCAGAACAATAGATAGGAAATCTCTCTCTCACACACACTCTCCATCTTTCTCTCCCTTTCTCCCTCTCTATCTTTACGTCTATCTCTATGCCTATCTGTCTTTCTCTCTGTCTCTCTCTGTCTCTGTCTCTCTTTCTCTCTCCTCTCCATCCCTCCATCCCTTTCCCTCTGTCTCTCCCTTCCTCCCTCCCTCTCTCCCTCCCTCTATTTTGCTAAACACAAGGAGCACACTACTACTGTGACGTGCAGGACAGTACACCAGTGGACAGGCAGCCTGATTGAAGATCCACATCACACAGTACACCAGTGGACAGGCAGCCCGATTGAAGATCCACATCACACATACCCTGTGTACCGTAAAGCAATTTCAAAGATGCAAGCACTCTTTCTTCCCAGAAGTTGCCCCTGTCCTGACGCTGTCCGGGCGCGAACTTGATGAAGAAGGCTGCTGTTAATAGTGCATTGGTAGACCAGGCGACCTTCAGCTGCCACAAATGACCTGGACATCATGCCATCATGGTCCAGGGTAGGTGCCTGGCGGATGGGAGGTTAAGAGTAGGGAGAGCGGATGAGCTTGGGGTGGAAGGGGGGGGGGGGTGGTTGGAGAGGAGGAGGAGGAGGAGGAGGAGGAGAAGGAGGAGGAGGAATAGTGAATATGATGGAAGGGAGGGAAGGTGGGGGAGGGGGGGGGGTGTGGGGGTGTGGGGGGGGGGGCTGGAGCATGAGGAATAGTAAGGTTTCATGACAGTGCTGGGTTCCTGGTAAAGGGTCACAGACCACAAACCCAAGACAGGGATAGTGTCTTACATGATCTAGATATTAATTGCGTGACCAGCGTCTTCCTGCATAACAGTGCATATACAATGTACAGTGATGCTCTGCTTCTAATTATTTATAATAAAATTCTAGGTGACTGGTTTCTGGAAAAATGTGGGTGCAAGCTATGTGATCGAGTCCACCAACTAAACCAGATTTTAAACAGTCAAACGTGCACAATCTAACACAAAACTGACATTTTTCCTTGGTTTGCAATCTGAATTCTGGACTAGTTTCTCTGGTTTCTCTGCTGAAATTACTGAAATTGAAGTGAATTTATAATAAAGTGATGGTTCTAGAATCAGCCATTTTCAAAAGCCAAGGATGTGCAGCTTCCATAATGCTTTTTTAAAATTCAAGTTTGAGACGATGTATGTTCACTTACGGTATGTATAGAATTGCAATGGATAGAGCAAACATGGATAGAGCAAACATGGATAGAGCAAACATGCCCAGCTTCCATGATGGGCAGCTTTCACAATGCACTCACCTGCTGGCCGTGCACAAATGAACGGTAGCTTGGTGGTACAGCTTAGATCTCGTAGGCTAGGCAGATATATACCAGCACGGAACACTGCACAGCCTTCAGTCTGCTCCCTGGCCCAGTAGTGGTAGTTCATGGGGAAAGAGTGATCTTTCATGATCATGCTGCGATCTGCTTCACTTGGTTGATATGCTAAGTTCGAACCCCCAGTTAGAGATGTGCAGAAGTCATTAGCTCCCTGCCAGTCCCGGGACACGCCTTCAGGAACTACATATTCCACTGATGGCTGGTCTTTTCCAAGTAGCCATATATCTAACCAAATATGGCAACACAAAAACCGTCACAGAGACAATCGGCACGGAGAAGGGACACAGTCAGGTAGGAGTTACGGTGGGATGTGGCATTTCCTGATGATGTTTCACATGCAGATGAAATACATGGCATTGGAGAGCATGCACTGAAATTTGCCATTTGCAATAACTCTTGAATCTGACTAAGCTGTAACACCACGGGACTAGATTAATAAATAATTATAATAGAAAGGGAGAGAAGCATGTCAAGCAATCAAAGTAACCCTCAAATGTAAACGTAGAACGTGGCTACGTTCACAACACACAGCCATGCACACGTTCATCTCCCCCCCCCCCCCTCCCCCCCCCCCATCCCCCCGCGTACTCACTCAGATTATTATATGTACACGAACACGCACGCACGCACGCACGCGCGCACGCATGCACACACACACACGCAATAAAAACACAACCACACTTGTAAGATCCACATGCATCCAGATACTGTAGAACGGGAAAGTTTAACGACCAAAAAGTTTCCCCAATTATCGTCGAAGTCGCACCAACCTCTTCTTCAAAAACTTTAACCTTTTTTTAAATTTTGGCATGATAACGTGCGGAAAGTTTAACGATGGCAAGTTCTAAAACACCAGGGTTCTGGCAACTGGAGTCCTCAATATTTTGGAAATGATTGCCAAGACTATCAACCAAAGGGTGACAGAATCGATACAGTTCCCAAAAAGAATAGCGCATCACAACAGGGGACGTAAGTTTGCTCAAATTGCGTGAAATACGCCAAATGTGTGAAATTGCAGCCGAAACATCGCTGAAAAGAGAAGAAAACTATCCGTGGTGTGTTTGGCTACTGTTCTGCTTCATCCCCCCCCCCCCTTTTCATGATTTTGTATGTTATCATTTTCTCGGATTTCGGTTTTCCACTCTGTTATGTTCGAATCCATAGTCTGTCTGTACATGATTTGTACGCAACTTCTCATTGGGTTTTTTATACCAGGCGTGGGCTATCCCCTGATCATAGGTGCCAAACATTTGGCGTTTTTCATTCGTTTGAATGTGCAGCTTCTCATTGTTTTTTTTACCAGGCGTGGGCCATCCCCTGATCATAGGTGCCAAACGTTTTGCGCTTTTCATTCGTTTGAATAAAATCGAATCCAGAAAAAAAAGAGAAGAAAAAAACGCATAGTGTTTCCAAGCGGGATTCATACCAACAACCTATTGTACAAAGGGCAGGATCATGATCCAACTGACTAACAGTGCTTTTACACACCAGACGGTGCCAGAAATCACTATATATCCCATGACGTCTATAGACGTCATCCGCGCACGGGGGGCATTTTCAATGACGTCTATAGACGTCATCAGCGTTCAATGGGTTATACTCCAGGTTCGCGATAACATTTCAAATATTGGTCGTTTAAAAAAACGTTTGTGACTCATTAGACTTTCCGGTTTTACAGTATCAACTCATTGTTTAACAAGTTTAAAAACACTATTATGCCTACCTGTGTGATTAGCTTCTCTTTTGGCTGATAGTGGAAAGCAAAGGAGAAATGACAGAGCACAAATAAATCTCACCACTTTGAACAATGTACATTGAATTCTTTAACCAAAGTGCTATGAAATGTTGCACCAAAATACAGAAAATAAGAAGTAGCAAATGTGAGTCTTCACCTCGCTTTCAAAAGAGCTTTCCTTACACTCTGACCTTGCAGACTCGTGCTTTAAACTTGGCAATTTCCTCGCTAAAACTCACAAGAAGCTAGACCGTATTAAAGAGCATCGCTGGCCTATAGCAAAGGCCCCTGGATGAAGTCCTGGTGGTGATGGCCAATCACCACCAGTCTTTGGTCTTCAGGCTTTCCTCATCACCTTCAACCGCCACGTTTCACTCATTCGGTCATGCACTCTTGCAGAACTTTTAGTATCCCTGCCTTGCTTGATTGTAGCATATCCCCGTGTTAGCGTATCCTCGTACGTTAGCGTGTCCCGTATGTTAGCGTATGTGGTCTGTTGCCTATAAAAGCTGCTGCGCATTTCTGTTTCATATTATTAATTTTTATTACATAATATACCAGGTGTATACCTGAGGAAGAATAAAAAGTTAAGCACCGTGCCTCCACTCGGCTACCTATTACATTGGTGGCAGCGGTGGTTAAAGTTAAACTCAGCGTGTCGTCACGCAAGCCAGCCAGTCTTCAAGTCTTGCAGTGTCTCGAGGAGTTCCTCAGGGAAGTATTTTAGGCCCTACCTTTTTAATGTCTACCTGAGGGACCTTCCCCGGCTTGCGGAGACAGCGGGTTCAAAATTATTCATGTTCGCCAATGACAAGACAGTCTACTCTAGTGATCCGTCGAAGGCGCGTTCGGAAGCCAAGTTGTCATCAGCACTGGAGATACTAAACAACCACCTTGGCTCCCTTGGTATGCAGATAAATACCGACAAAACCGTTGTCATACAAATCCATTCCAAACGTGCCACAGGGAGTCAGCAACAACACTGAGTTAACAAAGGCAACAACTGCAAATCACCTTGTGAAATGTCATGCTAGGGGAAGTGGAAAGCACCAGATGCCTAGGAGTCGTTGTTGACAATAAGCTGTTCTTTGACCAACACATTAACAATGTCGTCCAGAAAGCGTCACGGAAGATCGGTGTACTGCGCCGATTTTTCTGCCAGATGAACCTGTTTCCCTGTATACCTTTCGTTTATATCCGTTAAAAATAGAAACAAGCTAGCCTCGTTCCACCGGCACACTGTACGAGTTGCTTGTGGCGCATCACCCCACGCTAATATCACGCCACTTCTTCACCACCTCAGTGTTTCCTCTTTCCAATATCGATCAGTATATTTGCTCCTTGTATTCATTTTCCACTGTTACTGTATTAAGCCGGCTGTTTGCTTGCAGTCCCTCTTTCCCATCTGTACGTCTACCCGAACTACTCGCGGCTCAACAACTCATAACATGAGTATCAATCGCTATAGATCTATGTCTGGCTTTCTGTCTTTTTCAAGTAAATCGGCTCTTGTTTGGAATTATTTACCAGACGACCTGAAGTCCTGCATTGCTATCGCAGATTTCCGCGTCAAATTGGCTATTTGGCTAAAAGACAGCTTAACTCATTGTTGTGGTTTGCTTTCAAGCAATGTGCATAATCAGTAAATCGATGTTGCTGTTTTTGTTTTGTTTTTGGTTTCCCGTTCTCGGGGCCTTCTATTCGGTACTCTTTGTAGTTGTACTTCTGTACTGTTGAGCTATCCGAATTCAAATATAAAACACTAAAAAAAATTGTCAGATTCGACCTCACCTGTTTTACATTGTCATTGGTAGCAATGGCGCTACAAAATATTGGTGGCGCACATAGCATAGCATTGCGGCAGTAAGAAGACTCTACCTGCCGACCGTCCTTCAAGATGATTGATCCGCGCCAACGGCTGCGCGATTTCTGCGGACTACTTCTGGCGGTAGCATTCTCCTTCGGACTTCTTATTGTTGATGTGGAGAAGCGAGACTTGAATGCTTTGTGGATCGACCTGGACTCGCGTGTTGTTGATGAGTGGAAAGTTTTCGAGGTTGTGTTTGGTGGACTTACGAGAAAGACGATGTGTGCTGTGTCCGTGGCAACATCGGGCGACAGTCTGTTTCCTGGTAGTAATAATACAAGCGCTAGCACGGCCCGCAACTCGATGCCCAGTGAGCGGTGAATTATTTTCCAGTTACGTCGGACCGTAGCAGCATGGCCCAGCCTGTTTCACCAGCCGCCGCTCCTCCTACGGCTGCCCGCCACGTCCACTAATAGCCAGAAATGATGACAGACAGCGTCTCTTCCGATCAAGTTCCATGCCCACCATAAGCTAATTACCGATATGTCATTTTCTTTCCTGCCTTCCAAAGAGTTGACTGATCAGGACAGCTGTCTTTTGTGTGTCCGCCGCTCTCTCCTGGTCCTCGGTTGCCCCAGCTGCGACTTGTCCAATACTGTTGGCGATAAAACGAGAGAGCTTGGAAGCTCAGGGCCCTACGCTATGCTTTTATGCTTTTTTGCCTAGCTCATCGTACATGTTATAAGAACTGATGGAAATGTCTTTTTCCGTTGATTGGCCACATCACTGTATTGCAAAAACGTTTCAATCGGTTTGAACATTATGAGTTAGGCAAAAGTATTTGCAGAATTTATTGCGGATTGTTATTTCTCTAATAATCATCTACTTTTGGTTTGCTCCTTCTTTTCTTTTTATCTCCTTATACTGTAAATCAACAAATTTTGACCGATGAGAAATAGAAACCTCTCTATTAGAGAGGTTAAGATGCACGTTATTTCTGACGTGACGCGCAATTTCACGTCAAATTTGAAATCGATTGGTATTTTTGCTCTCACATGCATCCATTGCTCAATCATGCATCATTTGCCTATATGACAAACTTTGGCCTGCGATTTACTTTGGCCGGTTGGTACCAAGCGGCGAAATCAGCGAAATTAAATCGCCAGCGAAAATTAGTTGATTTTAATACAGTAATCGGATTTTCTTGCCTTTTTGTAGTAATACATGTACATTGACCTGTTGAGCCAATGACGACGCCGAATGCATGGTTGCCTGTGGAGCACATTACATAACTTTACAGTCTCCTAAAATACGTAACCTGTCCGAGGGCAAAAGAGGCTGCAGATTTAGTTTTTCTGCGACGCGAAAGTTCAGTTTGTGTTATTTGGCTCGCACGTCGAAAAATCAACGCGAGTGACCTGCTGCTCACGTCGAAATTTGGACATTACATAACTTTACAGTCTCCTAAAATACGTATCCTGTCCGACGGCAAAAGAGGCTGCAGATTTAGTTTTTCTGCGCGCCGACGGGGTGTCTGTCCTGACGTTTACTGGGACCGGCGCTGACTCTGCCGATCACGGGCGTTCTGGACTCGACGGGATGTCTGTCCTGACGTTTCCTGGGACCGGCTTAGACTCTGCCGATCACGGGCGTTCTGGACTCAACGGGATGTCTGTCCTGACGTTGCCTGGGACCGGCGGACTCTGCCGATCACGGGCGTTCTGGAGTCGACGGGATATCTCTTCCGACGTTTCCTGTGACCGGCGCTGAATCGCTCGTTCACGCTTATTTTGGAGACGACGGGATCTCTCTTCCAAAGTATGTTTATGCTGACGCATCCTATCACCTATTCGGCGTGTATTCCAATTTAATTTCCTCCTCGTCTCTCTATTTCTTTCCAAATCTCCCTCTACATCAGGGAGTCGTATACATAATACGACGAATATTGGTACGGTACGGGACAGATACAGGAGCCCGCAAATATTGTGGACAGCTGATATCATGGTTATGTACAATCCTGTAGAGCCTTTCTAGTCACAGATACGGGACAGATACGGGACATATACAAGATAGCTCCAGCCGTGACACAAACAAACAAACAAACAAACAAACAAACACCAAATTAAAGCTGTGTGGACCCTGGCTAGCGCCAGACGTTACTGAAGTAACGTCTTCTGCATAGCTATGGGAATAAAACGTGAGTCTCTCTACATACTCACGAAAATCACCTTTTTCAAAAACTTCAAGCTTCGATCGCGACATCTTCGTCTTCTATCTTCGTTGCCAAAATTGTTATGTCCCCTTGCAGACTAACATACCATTACATTCATGCATTCTCACTGGCACTCACAAACACTAGCATTTGGAAGACATTACTCTTGGTCAGGTAAAGCAACAACAATAACAATATGCGAGCATGCGCAATGCACTGTCCCTCCAGGAATCCGCGATTCCGCGGCCGTGGTAAAATCCGCGGAATTCCGCGGAATTCATGTTTTGTTTAATTCACAGTTTTCACCGCAGAATCGTGAAAAATCACGGTTTGGGGGCAATGCGAGCACGTGCTTCATATTCATGCACATGCACAGTGCACTCTCAGGGTTCTAGCCAATGGGGGTAGGGGGCGCAGCGCCCCTGTGAAAAACTGCCGCCCCCTACTCATTTTCCGATTTTCGTGTTTTTCATGCATAGATGGTTCATTCAGGCATATTTGTCTGGGGTGAAGTCAGGGATTCGCCCCATACGTTGCATTTGGCGCGGCAAGACAATGGAAAGTGGAAAAATGGGATATTGGGTAACTGTTTCCCATGCCCACCCCCTTCAATTTTGACCTGGCTAGAACCCTGAGTGTCCTGTCGCTAGTTTGTTGCATTCAAAGTCGAGGGAGTTTTGCAATTTTACACAGAAACCCAGGCCATTTGGGGTGTTGAGAGCCTGATGTATTGGAGTACAGGTAGAATGCGTGTACAACTCACCCCAGTGACCTCTGATCTGCCAAATATGCAGCGCCTTCACATGTTTCTTGAGCCTATCGTGTGTTTTCGACCACTAAATTTTTTATTGATACTTGTAAAATAAATTTTGACATTTTGAAAATCCCGCGGAATTGGTGAATGTGGCACAAAAAAGATTATTTGGAAAAATCGGGGTGCTCCAGCGCGAGGCGAGCATGGATCACGCTCGCGCATCTCGTTTCCACTCCCGGTATTTGAGGACTCCCTGCCCCTCATCGACTTTCGTAGTTTTCAAATTCAAATCCGTTTCGAACACTTCACTGCTGACTGCGGGTTCTCCAACATTTCACCCCACAGGCACAGGAGTTGCACGCGTACTACATCCAATACTCGAGAGAGTACTCGGGCTGGTGCTCGGCCTGCTGCTGCTGGAGCGTGCCGAGTCTGGCAACTCATTTTGGACTCGGGTCTGTACGGTAAGTTCACCAGGTTGCACTCCTCGATCCGACAGTTGCAGTTGCGCTTGTTCTGGTGTGCGCGGTTCGCTTGGCGAATGTCGTTCCTGTTGCGAGTTTGCAACCTGCAGCGATGTGTCCTGGCTGGGAGCATCTCCGGCTGTGTTTACATGAAGCATTTCAACCCGGTTTGAGTTCGACCTGGGTCAGATTTCAACCCACCATGTACACAAAGTGAATGGCGCATTTACATGTTGCATTGCGCTTGACCCGGGTTGAAAATTCGCCTGGGGTTGATTTCAACCCTCCCCTTGGGGGAGGGTTGAAATCAACCCGGGTCAAGGAAATCGTACAAATGCACTTCTGTGCGTATCTCGCGCCAGGTTTGAACGGCACTGCACATGCAAATTTCGTGCGAACAGATTCACGTGATAATACGGAACTGTAGAAGTGGACCTTTGGCAGCATATCAGTACTTTGAAGTATTTGACCCGGGTCAACTGTCTTCATGTAAACGCTCACCTCTTTTGTCTATCGTACAGACTTTCAACCCGGGCTGAACTCGACCCGGGTTGAAATTTCTCATGTAAACACAGCCTACGACAGGTTGCAGGCTGGGCTTCGTAGCGTACACGAAACAGGTTGTTCGTATATGTTTTTACGTACGACGGAATCTGCATGTTGGGGCGAAGAGAATAGAGAGGCTCAGTGACTCGTTTTTCATGAACGAAACGAGTGCTGACACCCGGTCCGGGTTAGAGTCTCGTTGACATCTCGTTCGGAAGATTCGTTTTTACGAATCCGGCCTGTCTGATTTGTATGCAGCTCCGAGAAAGTGTGAAAACGTTTTGACTTTTTTGAAATTTCTTCATCTTTGTTGATTATAGATTCTTTCGTTTTCACTTTCGCTGTGTTTGGTAAGAATTTTTCCTTTCCTTTTTCTGCAATGTAAAGTGAAGTGCAGGCTCCCCCAACGCTCCCTCCACCCGCGTGTCTCCCTCTGGACAAACTCCTGTAGAATGCAGAAGAATTCGGAAATTTGCAGTCTTAGATGACATCAAGTTGCTGAACTTGATCTTGTCCTCTGGACATGAAAACGTCTTTGCCTTACCCCAAGGGAATAAGGCTTGGCAGGACATCGGCAACGCCCTGTCACGGTCGGAACAGTTAAGCGGGATTCACGGAAGCTTTTTTGCGATGCGACACGCGATGCGACAGGCGCAAAACCTGGAAAACCCCAAATCGCAGCCATGTCGCACCCCACGCAACATAAATTTGTACAAGTTGTATCAAACTGCGCGAATATCATGGTGACGTAGCCAAATCAGCAAGATGTTGTCGCTTTACTGACTTCTTCTGTGAATGGTATTTCGCGAGTTCGCATCGCACGCGTCCATCGCAGATCGCGTCGCATCGCGTGTCGCATCACAAAAAAGCTTCTGTGAATCCCGCTTTTAAAGTTCTTGATGATGTGCTGCCATGACGTTCGAACGTTCGCGGGTTTGTATTAAAAAGTCTTTGCATGAAGAAATTGTGCAGAAAGATCTTTCAAATTTTCTCTCCGCCATATTTACCATGGCAATCATGATGCGACTCGCTGTCTTCTCGTGCACGAGTCACTGAACCTATTTTGGGCACTGCACGAGCTCAATACAAACGAGCTCGAATGTGGCGAAGCGGATACCAGTGGCAATGGCGAGCCCTGAATTCGTCTTGACAAACCAATGGTGAAAAGGCCCAACGGCCGATCCAAAGACACCCAAGACACCCAGGCTTTCGATAATAACGTCGTCTTGGACCCAGATGGGCACATCGTGGATTTGGATTTCCACGGAATCAGGCACCAGCTGAGTGACGCACACTTCCACTGACATGAGATGAAAACCCTTTCGGCAAAGTCATGTCAGAGTGTCTCGGGAATGAAACGTGGCCTTGCAGCTCAAGTTACTGGTCAGCTGCACGGATATCCGGTCGGGGTAACCATGTTCAATCAGGGCCTCAGCAACTTCGAGGGTTTTTGTGTGCAGTGGAACGTGGAAAGTCCCCATGTCCCGCTTTAGAACTTTCGAAGAGACCGAATTCCAACTGCGATTTTCACCGGACATGGGCATTCTGGAACGCTCTAACTATCTACTACCTTATTTTAAACTATCCAGTCCCTACCCTGCTCCAGACCGGCCTGCTGCCGGCTGGCTCCTACAGAACCTGCGAAAAACTACGGAGCTCGAAAAAAGCTAACTGCCCTGTCAGCCCTGTGGCGTAACTTACTTTCCAACTGCATAACCCGCAGCCCCACTCACAGCATCTCACCTTATCATAAACGTATTCTCTTATTGGCAATTGTGCCATCGTGAGAATAATGAATTAAAAAACAAACAAAAAAACTTACATGTACAGTTCGCGCCATAGTATGTATCTTTGCAGCGGCAATAGTATGAACCCACCAAGTTGTGACAAGTAGTTGTGTCCGGAGGGCATTCATGCATGTCATATTCACACAAGTCCAAAAATTCTGTTTGAATGAAACCCACATGTAGATCCATTCAGACATGCACTCACACGCACGCACGCACACGCACACACACACACACACACACACACACACACACACACACACACACACACACACACACACACACACATACATACACACACACACACACACACACACACACACACACATACATACATGCATACATACATACATACATACATACACACAAGCACACACACAAACGATTACTGCTTCTTGCTCACAACCCTTGCCTGATCCAATTTGGTCAAGGTGTAAACATCGATTGGCAACATGAGGGCACCCTTTCTGGAATGAAACTGCATTCACACAGTTATAACGCTATTGAAGAGGACATGGTTTAATTAAGGAGAAGATTATAAAAAACCACGGAGTAGTAAAATACCTACGGACTGGGAAAATATAAGGGGGAAATATGCGGACATGAGGGTCGCGCGCGAAGAGTTATAAGTTATAAGAGATATATGTGAGCAGGAAAGGACTACACTCGTACAACGACGGCCCCAGCATTCACGAGAGAGGCAGGGCAGGCCACCGGTGCACGCGAGGGGAAGAGGGAGTGACTCCCACGGATGCACATGACGCTAGCACGCACAAGGGCAAAGCTAAGGCGGCAGTGGATAAGGGCCATGGTTGTCGAGTATGGCTCGCACGTCTTCTCCGCCAGCAGCGGTGCGATGCGCTTGTAGAGAGACGAGGCGCACTTGCTCATGCCACCCGTGGTGGAAAACACTGCAGGCACGAATGATGCGTGCTCCACCTCACGGAGTCGCTGTTTGTAGGACTGCTTCTTAGCCTTCTCGTGACGGACGTAGGTGGCCGGGAGGGAGGAGGACTGGTTTGAAGGCGCATAAGGGTTGAAGACCCTGACATCGATAAATGTGCCTTCAAACCGCCCTCCCCACACTCCATTGGCTGCTACATCCAGACGAGCATTGTCGTCAGTGATAGCAGTGCAGAGGCGAAGTTGTTCCCCGGGGAGAGGCTGTAAGTGAGGCTCCACTGCGACATTCGTGGCGACACGCTTCAGCAGGCCAGCAGTGACGTCTCGGATCTCATTGTGTCGGATGGAGGGGTAACCTCCTGTTGGGCGCGGCAGGGCATGTGCGATGTAGAAAGGACTGCCACAGCCACAGGTCGCCGGCATCCTGGGAAGTCTCCAGTTGTAGCGAAGGCTGAGGGCAACTCTGAACTCACCCTTGGAGAGGACGAAACCGCATCGGCTCAGTGGTCGACACGGTAGCCAGCTCGAAGCGCCGCGCTCTGCGGCTAAGTCCATCACTCGCTGCTTGTCCGGCATCAAAGATGCTCGCAGGATAACGGAAAGGGCACGGGTAGCATCACGGGAGCGAGATTGTACGAGGTGAATAGCAATTTCTGGACATCAAAATAAAATAGAGCCCCACTGGCTGCATGTTTTAGATTTTTTGGATTTTCTTGTATTTATTCTATGGCGTAATCCTTCATCTCTCCAAATATGTCACATTTGCTTATGCTGTGATCCCTTAGACTTGATAGCAGGGCATTCTTGATATGCTATTTTTTTTGGCCTAAATTTCAGTGTATGGATTTCTGGACATGAAAATAAAATAGCGTCAATAGGCATTTATGAGGTACCATTTTGTTGTTTTTTCTATCAGTGAATATCAGTCAGCCTCTTCACATATCTCCGTAATCTGAAAACTGGCAAGTCCCCTGGTCAAGACAGAATTACCAACGAAGTTTGGAGATCTCTTGCTCCGTCTGTTGCCTATCCTGTGTCAAATATCTTGAATATCTCATTTCGCGAAGGGAAATTCCCAGCCGTGTGGAAGGAAAACTGCGGTAGTCGTGGCCACCTACAAAAATAGAAAATAGAGGACCACGCACCACCCCCAGCAACTATCACCCTATCTCATTGCTCTCTACTTTATCAAAAGTGTGCGAACGTGTTGTATATGACATCATTTATGATCATGTTCGCATTTCACTTTCGCCAGCACAGTCGGGCTTTTGTCAGGGTGACTCCACCAGGTACCAGGTTACCCGCCTTGTGTAAGACATCCACACTGCCCGGAACGCCCATAACCATGTTGGTTTAGTTTTCTTCGATCTTGCAAAGGCCTTCAACACTGTTTGGCACAGGGGTCTCTTAGCTAAGCTGCGAACAGTATATCGCATTGATGGCAAGGCTATCGGCTGGCTCTCATCGTATCTCTCTAACCGACATCAGCTTATACGCCTCTCAACTGTGTTATCGGAGCCTTTACCCGTAACTTCTGGAGTCCCCCAGGGTTCAATCCTTGGGCCACTGCTATTTCTCCTGTACATTAATGACCTCCCCGATATTGCCCCTGGTGTCAGCCTTTTCGCGGCCGACACAGCTCTGCTTTGCTCCAATGCTTGCCCTATACGACTACACGAAGCCATGGAAGATAGCATTGGCAAGGTTATAACGTGGATGCATGATTGGAAGTTGCAGCCAAACGTTGATAAAACGGCAGCTATGTACATTTCCCCTTCTCCCCCTTCCCTGCCACTTTGTTTTCCTTCTGCAAGTGTTGCTATTTGTATTGTTGAAGAGCATAAGCATCTTGGCGTTATTATTGACTCTAAATTGTCGTGGTCACCCCATGTGCAGCATGTCGGCAAGCGCACAAGCTCCATCCTTGGGGCTCTTTAAGCCCACTGTAGACATCTTCCTCTTTCTTGCAAAGCTTGTTTTATTGTTGCTATATATTGCCCTTACTTGACTACTGTGATACTGCTTGGTCTGGCATAACTTCTACTGTATTGAACAAGCTAGAAACCCATAACCGCATGCTCCTTAAAATCTTATTCAGCAAAGATCTTCGCTTTCCCTCCGCTAGTCTTTACGAAATTGCCAAGATCAGTCCCCTTTCCACTCGACACAAGTACCACCTCTGTGTTCTCATACATAATAATAATAATAATTAAAAAGCTTACGTGGAGATAAAAATGTAATCAACGCAATAAATAGTTAGTCTATCTCCGGCAGTTTGGAGAGCGCTCTCCACAATATTACTAAATAAAATACCCTTGCACATGCAGGCTTATAATTGGTTCTCCGAAACACGGAATACCCGGAATTCATTCAGTCTCCCACGCGCTGCCTCCACCCTTTTCACTAGATCTCCGATCTTTGCTGGCTATGTGTTTTGGGCAACATTACCAATGCAGGCCAAGACCAGCACGTCGAAGGATAATTTTGTTGCTAAAATCTCTGCTCAATTATAGGTTTCATGTATATCCTGCTCGTTTGTCTCCTCCTTTGCCTTTTATTTGTATTCTTTTATCTGTTTTACTGCTGTGGTTGGCTTTCACCTTTGTCTCAGTTTTACTGGCCGTCATCATGATGTGCCATGAGATAATGATATAAATACAAAAAAAACACATTAACTTTCGCGACTTTCGTGAGCGATTAACTTTCGAGACTTTCGCGAGCAGGGCCGAATCGCGAAAGTTAGTTTGACACGCGAATAAGAAATGTGTACAATCATGTATACATGTACTACGCGATGCGTCGATGATCGATTGTGCACTGTCTGTACATGCACTGCACAGACTCTGGACTAGCGCTGATCGATGCTTGCACGGCTACAGTCCAAATCGAGCAGCTGTCGAAAGTTACGTATCAACACTAGTCTTCCCAGTTGTCGTTGGAGTACGGCGACTTGAACCAGAAGAGAATAAAACGATCGACTGGATAATGTCTCAGTGTTGTGGAGAGTGTTGTTGAACTTCTTGGAGCGTTTGGCCAGCTTGCTGTTGCGTAGATTATAGTGTTGTACTGCTCGAAGAAGTCTTCTGAATTTTATCGCGATGAGTATCGCAGTGGCTCAGAAGTTCGAAGAGAAAGTCTTCCAATGATCCCTCTTCGAACGTGCCATCCTTTCTCCCAGTACTAGTACTTACCTTATGCCTTTGATGCCTTTATTTCTTCTTACATTCCTTGATTCCTTCTTTCGTTCTTTGATTTCTTCTCTCATTCTTCATGCACTCTGCGCCCAGCACTCCGAGGCTTCGTAAAAATTCTTTGATTTTCGGTGGAAGGTAAAAATCGCTAAAATTAATCGCCGCTAACTGGTCCAGTTTGCCAAAACACTAAATTAAGCCGCCGCGAAAGTTTGTCGTTTTACAGTAGCTCATGTTCACTCAACATCATGAACACATACATATTATACACACACTTACACACAAACGCACACACACATATATAATATACACACACATACACCTTGGCCTTGACCTTGACAAACAACTGCCGTTAAACGGCTAAGCTGCCCTTATGAGGAGGGGAACAAAGGAGTAGCATCACGGCGTCGCATCAGAACATCCGGCCTCATGCCGCTGCAGATCCTGCTGTCTGCGATATCTTTCGCTGCACGCACAGCAGAACTTGAACTTAAAACGCTCCCTCGCTGTTGGTCGCTTGCCAAGCTCGCAATTGTGCCATTTAAATCCAGCAGCGGATCGAAAGCACCGATTACATGACGGGCAGTGGAATTGGCAACAATGTTGGTGTTGAAGCACTAGGCGAGGTGCAGGATCGAGTCGAGTCCGAAGGCTGTTGGGAGGAACCTGCGAGACGGCACTTATGTACCTTCAGCCCACCAGCACTCTTGAACTATCTACCACAACGCTGACACGACTTTGCACCAGGCTGTTGGCTGACAGGAAGTTGACGGGCCGCACTGCACTTATGCCGCTTGTACCCAGACGCACTAAGATGGCGGTCGCAAACACTGCAGTGCACAGTTGGGTTAGATGGTGGTGGTGGAGGCACAACATCAACGACACTCGATCTCCACAAAGGTCGATCCTGGGCTGCACATACACACATACACACACCTTTGGACCTTTGGATGCCCATTGCTTTGTGCAATGATAGCATCAGGAGTTGTGGCGAGTTAGATCGTTTGGCCAACGGAAGTCCCTGCCACAGCCCCAACTGAACACTCTAGGCTTTGGCACAGCCGGCCAGGGACGATTGCACATGAGGCGCCAGTCTTGTCTGTCCTGCCCCAAGTCGCACCAGTTACCTGTCACGCACCGAGCACTCAGATCAGCAGCGGCGATGTCGCTCCAACGTTTCTTGGGACCGTGTCTGAGCCTTGTGTTGAGTCCCTCAGCAAACATAACACGCTTGGGGAGAGGGGCATCCTCCATTCGCCCAAGGTGGCCAAGCCAGGGTAAACGGCGACAGTGTACGACCTCCGCCATTGACGACGGCATACCAAAACGACGGGCTAGTTCCTCTGACAAAATGCGCTCCTGCCATAGCTGGTCCCGTGACACACCAAGAATCACTCGCATGCAATGGTGATGGAATACCTCCAGGCAATGTAGCTGTGGGGCCTTCAACGTCCAGGTCTCTGACGCATAAAACGGAACCATCATGACTCAAGCTTGGTACACATAGCGCCGTGTCCCAAGAGACAGTGACGTGTTGCGAAGATGGGGTCCGCTAGGCTGCCAAACGCACGCGATGCCTTTGCCAAACGGATGCGATTTCATGATCCAGCTGACCATCTCAACTGATGGTGCTTCCAAGGTAGGTGAATTTATCCTGGCAACTGAAAACATCATCATCACCGAGGACAGGGAGATCTGCACACACCCGACCTGGTCTAACCGACATTGCCTTGGTCTTTGTGATACTGACTATCAGGCCCCAGTCAGATGCGCATGAGCTAAACTCATTGGCCATAGTGTACAGATTCTGTGGTGTATAGTGCAGCATACACACACACTCACACACTCACACACACACACACACACACACACACACACACACACACACACACACACACACACACACACACACACACACACACACACACACACACACACCCCCCCCCCCCCACACACACACCTTGACCTTGACCTTGCCCATTGCGTAGCAATGATAGCGCATTGGTATTTCTCTAGTCCACGGCAGAATGACTAATAGCGTTTCAGGTCGCCGCTTCGACAGAACGTGCGGCCGCAGGTGCATCCGTAGCCAGCAACAGATGGTGCCTTGGGTGGTCGACGGGCAATGGTACGCCACTCCGGACGGTTCTGAGCTGCATCGTACCATTCACATGTTGGTACCGGTGGCTCAACCGATGCAAAGACACACACACACACACACACACACACGACTATACAGATGCACGCATGCGAGCAGACAAACACACACACACACAGGTATCTCACCGTTACAAGTCTGGCCGGTGTATAATGTCTCACACGCACACCGATAGGAATCGTACGTGTCAACACAAACGCCATGGTAACATGTGTAATCACCATGGCTACATTCATCATACTCTAGATGTAAGGTGACACAAAATCAGGGAAAAAAAGCAAAGGGTTTTAAGAACAGTATCATGCACACGTATCGTCAAGTGAGAGAAAAGCTCTTTGTGGCGGGCAGGGATTCTTCTAGTTCATATTTATCCCTGATGTGTGTGCCCTTTCATGACTACATTATATCCTCATAAATAAATGTAGAAAGGAAAAGAACATATGGATACGAGTTAAAAGTAACTCTCCATCACTGTAACATGATACTATATACAGTCAGAAAGTGCAATAACTAGGCACAAAACTGACAGAGTACTGAGACATTCGACGTCCTTACACCTAGCTTCAACACATCACCGTAGCGCTAACCGACAGCCTTCCAACTTGGAAGGTTCAAGGTTATGGAAAGACCAAAGAGGGGAAGGCAAGCGCAACGAAAACGAGCAAAAGCTACAGTCCCAATGGAACAAAGGATGTTGATTGTTACTGGACGATGACGAGACCAGTACGATATTTTACAAAGCGGTCTAACTACAATTCGAAGCAGCACAGCAGCACACCACCCAACTTGGGTGGGTCATACATATCAAAGATAAGTAAAGAAATGGGAAGCTTTTGTTTAAGGATGTCGGTGTTTCTGTGTGACTGCGTACGCTGCGTACATCCGCAGACAAGAAAATTCACCAGGCTCTCCGTATCCAAAACCGAAATCAGGACAAACTCAGTGAGCTGCACCACCGTGACTGGTTACGCAGCTATATACCATACCTGTGGCTTACCATACCGTCAGAAATGGCGTACTACACGGGATACGCTCCAACAGGAACTATTCCGAGTTGCACACTCTAGTCTAAGTAATCTTGCTAAGAGATAGGGTGAACCGAGTATCTATTTTGACCAATCGATCACTTATATATAATATTCGATCGAGTATCCGATTATTTCGAGTATTTTGTCAAAATTCAGAAGCGGTAGATTTGTGAGTTCTCGACCAATTCGGAAGAAATTATCTGAGAACATAGAACAAAAGTTGCCAATGTCTTGTACAGAGTGTAAAGTAACGATTTTCATCAGTACTTTCATGTCTCATAACTATTATAATGCTAACATAATCATTACTTGCCGTGGTGATCGCATCGTCCAAGTAATGAAATACTGACTCAAATCAACAACAAATTCAATGGTGGCAGCGAAGGCAGTCGGCCATGACGAGACCAACAAGAGCAAGGGAAAGCCACGTCGGAAGAAGCAGCCAGCAGACAGCAAAGCTAGTACACGGACGGACTTGAGTTCACAACTTTTTGAACTCGCGCAGACAGCAACCAGCAAAGCGAGTACCCGTACGGACTTGAGTTCACACCTTCTTGAACTCGTGCAAGCAAACACACCCGATATGGCCGTTGGTGCAAGTGAGCAACCCAGCTCAACAGCAACAGACTCGGGATCAGAGGAAGACTGCGCATACCGTAGTGTATCCCGTAGATCTCGTGGAGGTCTTGGATCGACACGTGGAACTTCAAATCCCAGGACGAAGATTCAAAACGCGGACGTCCAAGAACGCAAGCTGTTGCCTTGTTTCGAGGATGAGCCTGACAATCTGGCATGGCAGCTCATCTCGAACACAAAGCCTACAGGCAAGAAAGCGGTCCTTTTTGCTGGCTATCTCCGCATGTCATGGAAAGCGCCCACCTTAGCAAGTTTATAGCACAGCGAGCTTCAGCTACGAATATTCCAGTCACCATCCATGAATGCAAAATATTTCGCAACGAGGAAAGCATCTCAGCTTGAATTGTTGTTAATCACGCCAGCTCCAAGACACTGCTCCAGCGGAAATTTTGGCCATCGCCTGTTTATTGCAGAATTTGGAACTTTGACAAATATCTGGACTCTGCGTCAGACCATGCTGCTGGTCAACAAACTGCATCTCAGTCACAACCATTATGACCGTTCTGACCACTGCACTCCTCAATGTGTGCAGCCTGCGGAGGAAGGTTTCTGAGGTCCAGGAGTTTGTGTCCTCCAGAGATATACATCTCCTTGGAATCACGGAAACTTGGTTGAAGCCCGATATCAGTAATGGTGAAGTAGCTATACCACATTTCAAATTGTTTCGCAAAGACAGACCAGATCGACCTGGTGGTGGAGTAGCTGTATACTGCCACGAGTTCCTGGCTGTTCGTCGCCGCTTCGATCTGGAAACTGAGATGGAACTACTATGGTTTGAGGTTGTAGTTCCCGGCCACGACTCCCATGTTATTGGTTGCTGCTACCGGCCACGACTCCCATGTTATTGGTTGCTGCTACCGGCCACGACTCCCATGTTATTGGTTGCTGCTGCCGGCCACGACTCCCATGTTATTGGTTGCTGCTACCGGCCACGACTCCCATGTTATTGGTTGCTGCTACCGGCCACGACTCCCATGTTATTGGTTGCTGCTACCGGCCACGACTCCCATGTTATTGGTTGCTGCTACCGGCCACGACTCCCATGTTATTGGTTGCTGCTACCGGCCACGACTCCCATGTTATTGGTTGCTGCTACCGGCCACGACTCCCATGTTATTGGTTGCTGCTACCGGCCACGACTCCCATGTTATTGGTTGCTGCTACCGGCCACGACTCCCATGTTATTGGTTGCTGCTACCGGCCACGACTCTCATGTTATTGGTTGCTGCTACCGGCCACGACTCCCATGTTATTGGTTGCTGCTACCGGCCACGACTCCCATGTTATTGGTTGCTGCTACCGGCCACGACTCTCATGTTATTGGTTGCTGCTACCGGCCACGACTCCCATGTTATTGGTTGCTGCTACCGGCCACGACTCCCATGTTATTGGTTGCTGCTACCGGCCACGACTCCCATGTTATCGGTTGCTGCTGCCGGCCACGACTCCCATGTTATTGGTTGCTGCTACCGGCCACGACTCCAATGTTATTGGTTGCTGCTACCGGCCACGACTCTCATGTTATTGGTTGCTGCTACCGGGTTTTAGTTCCCGGCCACGACTCCCATGTTATTGGTTGCTGCTACCGGCCACGACTCCCATGTTATTGGTTGCTGCTACCGGCCACGACTCCCATGTTATTGGTTGCTGCTACCGGCCACGACTCGCATGTTATTGGTTGCTGCTACCGGCCACGACTCCCATGTTATTGGTTGCTGCTACCGGCCACGACTCCCATGTTATTGGTTGCTGCTACCGGCCACGACTCCCATGTTATTGGTTGCTGCTACCGGCCACGACTCCCATGTTATTGGTTGCTGCTACCGGCCACGACTCCCATGTTATTGGTTGCTGCTACCGGCCACGACTCCCATGTTATTGGTTGCTGCTACCGGCCACGACTCCCATGTTATTGGTTGCTGCTACCGGCCACGACTCCCATGTTATTGGTTGCTGCTACCGGGTTGTGGTTCCCGGCCACGACTCCCATGTTATTGGTTGCTGCTACCGGCCACCTAACAGCCCAGCTGCCTTCTGGGCATCACTAGAACACAACATCGAGCGAGCTGCGGAAGGCCGGCAAAAGTCTACCACGATTGTCGGCGACTTCAATGTGGACCTTGCCCAGGGTCAGCCATCTGCAGTACCTCTGCGCTCTATTATCAGCCGCTTCAACCTTTCCAACTATGTAACATCTCCCACTCGAGTGACCTCCCATTCAGCTACGCTGCTGGATTTACTCCTTTCATCAGCTCCACCGGTTGGCAGCTGTGAAACAGTATATTTAGACATGAGTGACCATTTTGCGATTCTTGCCCACTTGCATATTCGAGTGCCGAAGCACAGCTCATCAGCACCAACGGCCACACGGCGGTTGCACCTCGTTGACTGGAGCTGCTTCAGCAAGTACGTCCAGCGCAATCAGCAGGCATTTCCTGACAATGGCAACTTCGAGGACATGATTACATCTTTCACTGAGTCTCTTCTATCACCATTAGACCACCATGCGCCTCTAGTTGCTCAGCGTGCTCATCGACGTCTCCCATGCCCATGGCTAACGAATGAACTAGTTGTGGCTGTACGGAAGCGCAATGGCTTACACCGGAAGTTGATGCGGGACCAGGGGAATGCAAGATTACGTGAGGAACATAAGTCAGCTCGTTCTGTGGCTAGGAAGCTTGATGGGAAACTGCGCTACCAGTATTTTACCACCCAATGCCAAACTACCAACCAGAGGAAACTCTGGAGGGTACTAAATACTGTCACCGGCAGAAGGAAGAAATCGCAAATCCCTCAAGCGCCTTTGCCAGAGCTAAGTCGAGTGTTTGGCGGAGTAGTGAATGATCCAACACGTCCACCCCACCTCCAGCTGCCGCTGGGCCCAAGCCTCCAATGCAGCTTAAATGTATTCCAGCCTGTCACGTTGACAGATGTCGAGTCATGCCTGAAATCAGTGGATGCAAGCAAAGCCAAGGGCAGTGATAGGATTCCCGGTTTCCTGCTCAAGCAACATGCCTCTGTTCTTGCACCGAATCTCACCAGCATTATCAATTTGTCTCTTAGAACTGGACAGGCTCCGCCAACCTTCAAAGTGTCACATGTCAGTCCCCTATTTAAGAGTGGCGACCCAACCCTGCCCCACAACTATCGTCCAGTGTCTCTCCTCCCCATTATCTCCCGTATTCTGGAGACAATGGTTAAGAGACAGCTCATTGCCTATCTGGAGACACACCAGCTATTGCCCGACAGCCGGTTTCCTTATCGCAAGCAACATTCAACTGAGGATGCACTTGTGTTTGCTGTTAATCGATGGTCTACCGCTAGATGCAAACGAGAGTTCACTGGGACAGTGTTCGTTGATATTTCGAAAGCTTTCGACCGTGTTAAGCATGAACGTCTAGTTACAGTTTTATTTTCCCTTGGTATAGCTGGAACTGCATTAGAATGGTTCACTGACTACCTCTCAGGGCGTTTCCAGAGTGTCAAAGTTCTGGACTCTGTTAGTGAAGCCGCCAGTTGCCCCCGTGGTGTTCCACAAGGTAGAGTCCTTGAGCCACTGCTTTTTGTGCTCTACACTAGTGAACTCCACACTATACTGGCACTGTCTGTACAGCACCAAGAATTTGCAGTTAACATTGTCATCGACTGCTCCTATTCTGATCCTGCTGTAGTGTGCAGAACCCTCACGCAATCCATGACAAACCTTGCTACCTGGCTGAAGGACATTGGCCTGCTCCTCACCACTTCCAAGACTCAGTTGCTCTTCATCCGGTCACGAGGCGCGGCTGCAATACAACCGGAGGTGCTCTGCAATGGCGAGAAACTTTGTGTGACCCCTACAGCCCAGTACCTTGGTTTAGTCCTGGATAATGATTTATCCTGGGCTCCACATACACACACGCACACACACACACACACACACACACACACACACACACACACACACACACACACACATATACACACACACATACACGCCCATGCATATGCATACTTGTGAGCACAAACACACACACACACACACACACACACACACACACACACACATGTATCTCACCGTAACACGTCTCCCCCGTGTATTTTGTCTCACACTCACACGTATAGGAATCGTACGTGTCAACACAAACGCCATGGTGACATGTGTAATCACCATGGCTACATTCATCATACTCTAGATGTAAGGTGACACAAAATCAGGGAAAAAAAAGCAAAGGGTTTTAAGAACAGTATCATACACACGTATTGTCAAGTGAGAGAGATCCGATCGAATTACTCTAGTTTGCGCCGAGCGCTTTGCAGCCCGAGGCCTGCAAAAACTCCAATGCCAAAGGGGGAAAGGCCCAACTTGCCTTGCACGATCACGAGTCTTTCCTGGCAATGGCCCCGACAACCGAAACATTCTCGAAATGACTGAATTGCGTGTGAAATGAAGCACTTACTTGAGGATAGTTTAGTAGCCTGCATACAATATACTGGTAGGATGCAAGCTGTATAATGAAGTTGCCTGAAGCGGCCTTCAGGATTTAAAAAAATTAAAATTGAGTAGTTATCTAATGAAAGCAATGAATAATAAAAGTTTCGCAGTCATGCAACACAGAGGTCTCAAAAGAGCTGTAGAGTACTATTCTTCAGTAACGAAAATCCACTGAAGATAGTGACAAGAAAATCTGTTTTGGTTAAACCCTCTTTTGAGACTTCTTTGTTTTGTGGCATGGCTGCGGAACTGAGAGTATTTATTGAGATGTATAATTTTACCCACATTCCAACATTCGTATGCAACAGCTTTGCCTCTTCCCTTTCCTCTGCACGACGTTATCGTCTTTTGAAACTTCTCCAGCGAGCTGTGCATGTTGTCTGCTCTGCTCCCTTCCTGACTGCGATCCCCCTCCCCCCTCTTCATGAATGCCTCAGAATGCAAGCCCTGCAATCAAAGTATTGCCGCAAACTCCTTCTGCTAACCTTTTGTGTAATTAATAGTACTGTCTGTACTGTCTTCTTCATGACCGCGCTACTCCTCTGTCACACACCCGTCGAACAAGGAGCACAGATGTTCCCCTGCTTCTTTTCCCGAGGGTCACGTCTGCCGCTGCCACAAACAGCCCTTCATATCAATGTCCCATTCTCTGGAATATGTTGCCTGCATCTGTATGGTCACTGGAGAAACCCGGTCTCTTCCGGACCACTACTTTATCCCACCTGAAAATTCAATGACTGACTATGCTCACTGATCAAATAAGTATGTAATCTTTCCTCTGCTGTCTCTTCTCCTGCTCTATTTATTTTTTTCCTTTTTTCCTTATATTTATGTGTGCCTGAACTCGATCTCATGTAATAAGGCACCCACTGGCTGTGAGTTATTCGACATTAAAAAAAGCCTATCCAATCCAATCCAATTGCTTATAGTGTCCACGTCGCTTATTTCTATACAGTAGTTACCGTACTTCAAAGTATTAATAATAGAGAGGTTTTGCATTCCGAATTTCGGAATTATTTTCGGAATGTGGCGGCAGCAGTCGAAAAAGTAGTCGAACTTTCGGAAGTGTGGTGGCGAAAGTGCATGGTTTTCCGAAAATGGATTTTCGGCTCTTTCATGTTTGGGAGTGCATATTTGAATACAAAAAAGTGTATTTTTCATGTTTGTATTTTTGCTTTCTGCTGCTCTCGATTATTTGAAATTTTTCTGCGTATGTAGTTTTGATTTTTGCTGGTTTTTGCTGCTCTCGCTGATCTCGCCATGTTGACTAGATCTTCTCACACTTCATCACACTCTATCTTCCTTTGCTATGGAGCCTACTGACAGCACAAGACAGTAGTTCGACAACCTCGTCTTCAGCCGTTGGATCACTCGGTCCACCATCAGTCCGTCCTCGTCTTCGACCCGCACCCAAATTCAGTTTGAACTGCACATGGATTTGATCCTGCTCAACCCCTTCGACGCTCTCCATTTTGTTTTGCATGGCAACCCTTGGAAACGAAGTCGAATCAGACTTTCGGAATGCAAAACACTGAAAATGCCGTTTTTCGGCACGCGCTTCTTTCGGAAAAGCACAGTCGAAAATCATTCCGAAATTCGGAATGCAAAACCTCTCTAATATTGTTCGTACATGTAGCAGGCAGGCACAGTGGGTTGGTCTAAGACCATGATTGAGAAACGAGAGGTACCAGGTTCAAGTCCTGCTTGGAAGAGGAAGGATTTTTTCCAACCGTGCTGCGACCCACAGTTAATTGGGAACTCGTGACCTGGCATGAGTAAAACATGGATGTGGCAAATGGGATTTAGGCCTTTGGCCTACGGTTGGTGGATCTGATCTATCCTCCCCCATCCTTTAGGAGCCGCATCTGATGCCTGATCATGGGGTGGTGGCATCCCACGGAAGCGGAAAGGTGGTTATTGGCCAGGGAGTTGCACGACTCCTTGTTCTTGACCTGCCCCGTATGCGAACCCGTCGAATTTTATTTGCTTTTCTTTATATCCGAGCTGCAATGTGATGTAATGTGATGAGGCATTGCATTTGAATACCGTGGCAACGTTTTCAGCATGAACTCACCTTTCGGACGAACACAAAGGAATGGTAGAGCAATACTACATTGGTAGTGGAGGAGACTGAATTGAAATCCACCAGCACGGTACACTGCACAGACATCAGCATTGTGATCTCTTGCCCAGTACTCGTACTCTTTGGGCATAGAGTATTTCTGGATGAGCAAGCTATGATCCGCATCGCTTGATTGAAACGCCAGGCTTGACAGTCTACCGAGAGACGTACAATAGTCCTGAGCTCCCTGCCAGCTGCGAGTCACTCCTTGGGGGAAGAGATATTCTACCGATGTACTATTTATGCTGCCGAGTATCCACATATCTATCCGAATGTGGACACACACACACACACACACACACACACACACACACACACACACACACCAATATACACACATGCATACACATGAGCATGCACGCAAGTGTTAGGTGCCTCCTCCCGTACAATCTTACCTACAACCTTTCCTAAGCTGGCCGGCCTGCATGCACCCGTACTACGTCATACTCACCCTTCGTTCCGTTGGCCTGGGTAGCTACTTGCGCGCCCATGTTTGCCATAGCTACCCAGGCCCGTTATTGCGTTGTTTCTCAGTCGAGCTCTCTCTTCAATAATCTCGCTCTCGTCAATGATCATAATGTAGTCGCAGTAGTTCGTCTTTGTCTCCGTCTCTTCGTCTACCCTAATAAAAGTCGTTCCACCTACCTGTCCCGTTGTGAATTGTGTCTGGAGAATATTGGGTTTAATTCATACTCAACACAAGTATTTGCACACACATGGGCCACATGTATAAACACACACACACACACACGCACACTCACACGCACACTCACACACACACACACACACACACACACACACACACACACAAACACACACACACACACACTCGCACGCACGCACACACACACGCATACACACACACACACACACACACACTCACACGCATGCACACACACACACACATACACACACACACACACACCATCACCCACACAAACACACAATCACACACACACACACACAGACAAGCGAATATGGAAGGTCTGTAAAGTCGGTAAAATTGTGAATATGGCTACAGGTCGTTTAGAAGGTCACGAAGAAACTGTTTCGAAGAGCGTGATAGCAAGTATGCCTTGCAAACTCTATTCATTATGTGCAGGGACTGGTTTTTATTTATTATTTATTTTTACTTCCTCCGCGTCATTAAAATTGTCGCTTCCCAGAGCGATTTTCCGAATTTATTTTGTCCACTCGAAGGGCAAAGAAATCAGCTAGAAATTGAGGCAGAGCATTGTCGACTGACCAAGTGTTAGTTTGTGGCCTACCGCTTCGCTGTACTTTCAGCTCAGGTCGACCGCTTCATCAGAGTTTGAGGCAGACCCTTCAGCACTCAACAATACGCTGAAGAAGACGCGCGTTCAAATTCAGGTCAAGGAACTTCGTCGAATCAAGCGATCCATGCCTCCAGGTGGCAGGCGATGAAAGCAAGTTAGCATTTTTCAAGTACACTGTAACGAACTTCCAGAGGTATATGGTAAGCAGTTCCGCACCTTCTTTCCTTGGCAAGTGCTTCACTGATTTTGTCGGTGTTTTCAGACCTGCTACCTTTGCAGCAACATGCGCCACAAGTAGCGCATTTTAAGAATTTGAGACCACTTTGTTCATGCCATCGTCAACTTCAGCATTTCGTATTCAGGAGAGATACCAAGATTCTTATTCCCGAGCTTGCAGCCTTGATAAATGCCCACGCGAACGATGTGGGACGGCACGAACTCCAGAAAACGAAATGCGTTCTGGGACGGAATAGTGCGGAGCGCTATGAATTTGCTTGGTGCGGAAGAGAGCTCCAACAAAGTCCGAGACCACCACGGCTTCAGTAACAAGTAGACATTGCGCAGGTAGTGTCGCACCAGTGTTCGAACACAGAAAACAGCGATTCCGACAGTCTGACTTAGACAAGCCAAGTCACAAATATTGCGATGTGCGAAGCGAAAATTTTAATGGCGCGGAGTAAGTACTACGTTCACCTACCCAACTCGTAAATAAAAATGAAAGACAATGGTACTGTATGAAAGACAATGGTACTGTATGAAAGACAATGGTACTGTATGGAACAGGTCAACAGACACTCATTCCCCTGGCTAGTGTCTATCCCAGTGTTTGAAGCACACCACTTGACTCAGGACCACCCACGCAAGCCGATACGTGGTGGGGACCTGTCGGTGGGGTTAGCACTGTGTTCGGCCATGTTGTCCCCGTCGTAGCTGCTGCAACATCTAAACAGTGCTAGTTGATTATCTATGGTGACATCATACACCAAACGTTACTAGTAGTACTCCCTCATTGATTTGTTTCCGTTTTCTTTTTTCATGCCTCGTTCTCTCAATTATTTATCCTGCTCTTCCCTTTTCACATATCAATGTCTTCATCATTTTGCGAGAACTGTGGCAATACGGCCAGTAAGAAGGCAGGTGTTGCCTGTGCTTCTAACCAAACATGTAGTCCGTGTCGTGCAGCATCCACAGGGCCCCAGCAAGAGAGTATTATCTGCTCCACAAATAACAGTACAGAAACAAGTGTATGAATACTACTTGGTCCGCGTCAGCAATATTGTCGCTTATCTTTTGACAATTTGAACTTGACTTTGGACATGAACGCGTGCACTTGAAGTGATGAAACTTGGTACGATGGACGGTAAGGTATAGAATGACAACTAGCTATGAGGAATTTATTGTCCAAGGAAAGGTTCCTACTGTTTTCGGTCCTCCTCGTCGCTGCTCTCGGCGCTGGTGACAAATATTTTTGCTCGGGATCGACTCTCTTGCTTTTGCAAGCTCACCTCTCTTCCTCTCCGCTGCCTGGCAATTTTCTAAAGAGAAGTCGATCGTGACGGTCGCCTTCTCTATAGGACTTCGCGTGGGCAGCACAACAGCCTTTGTGGTTCAAATCAGACGCCGTTCTTTGCAAGATTTTATTTTGAACGACGACAACGACGACGCGTACAGTACTTGCAAATCTCCACGACGCGCTGGATACTCCGAGCATTGAGCTGGAGATAAGGGAGCTGCGATCTCAGCTTGACGAGCGATCACTGAGGTGAGCAATCTCGGCCGTTCAGCAAAATGGAGCTGATTCCGAGTAGCCGATTCCTTTCTTGTGGCTTGCGCTGCTCTTGCCTGCACAGCGTAACACGATAATTTATTTTGATGCGGCGCTATATCAATCAGAATCACCCACCCATCGCTCTCGAAATCCACACGAACTCTAGCTAGACCTTTCAGGTACTAGTAAACTAACTTGCTAACCAAAATTGTGTTGAAATGGGCTGCCAAGTGAGCATTGGCGACATATAAACAAAGCTGAAAGATAAGCGACAATATCGCTGACGCGGACCAAGTAGGCAAACTTGAGAAGCCATTTCCAAACATACTATGACGCATCCAGTTGCTGCAACATGAACAATGTCTACTTAGACACCGCACACCATCTGCCATTTGTGTGTGCACACAGTCACTCACACACAGCTAGGAGAAAACACATACACACACACACACACATACATACACACACACACATACATACACACACACATACATACACACACACACACACACACACACACACACATACATACACACACACACACACACACACACACACACACACACACACACACACACACAGCACTGGCAACTGAAATCCGACCCCCTTGGCGGCGCGTGCGCCGGCAAGGGGGTCGGATTTTAGTTGCCAGCGCTGTACATACACACACAAACGCACACACACACAAACATACATACACACAAACATACACACCTCAGACCTCAGACACCTCAGACATGCCCATCGCGGAAGCGATGATAGCGAACAGCTATGTTAGACATAGCAACTTGTGCTGGGATTACACCATTCAACAGCTTGCAAGGCTGATGAATTGACCGCCACTATTTTTAGCCTGGTATCCACCACACAGCTGTTTGAAGTGACTTTTTCTGGCCAGTGAATCCCTATTTTTCATTTTTTTCCATTTTTTTCTTTTTTCTTTTTTCTTTTTTTCTACACACACACACCACACCACATACTCCGGCATACACTGGCTGTTGGTAACCACCCAGGAGAATGAAAGAAAAGTCAGGAAGAGTCCGAGAAAGAGAAGAAAGACGTGTGCGACCATAATCGTCGGGAAGTGAACCCGCAACCTCTCGATTGGAAATCGACTGCACATACCACTGCACCATATGGGACATACACACACACACACATACACACAAAACACACAAACACACACACACACACATAGTCATATGTACAGCTACTTGAAAGCCTACACAAAACAGGCAAACAAACACAGTAGCAGATGTGTGCGTACCTTTGTGAGAAGGTTTTCTTGTGACTGTGTTGGAAAAAAGAAAATAGCAAGTTGAACAAACAATCAAAATCAAGATGATCGAGTCTTCGTCAACACTGAATTTATTTATTTACTTTCTGCACTTCATGGCATAATATCAAAATAATAAATTAAAAAATAAAATAACCAATACAAGGAAGTGAGAAAAGGGCAGATCGGTTCTAGGCATTGCACCTACCACTCTTCAAGCCTGCAAGAAACCACCATTCCTGCTGAATGCAATACATGAATAATGACTCAGTTAAGTTGTCAAGTTTGGCATGAATAAGGACCAATTTGGGATGAAATATTGTACAGATCCAAGTTTCAGAGGTTAGCATTGTTTAATAGTGCTCTAGTCTACATGTACATGCAAACATTTCGATTGGTGCGAAAAATCTTTAGCGAAAACACTACATTCGATAAAAACCCTAAAACATCATAACCACAAAATTTCCCGTTTGACAGTAGACAAATACCAAACCCTGTCTGTGATCATGCATGCATGGTATAGGGTATGTGTGTGTATATTGTGCATGTGTGAGTGTATTGTCTACTTAGATCATTGTATCTCCATCGTGTCGGATGCGCGTGCTGCTAAGTTGTCAGCTGTTTTGGCAGCTTGCCACATTCACAGAAAACCCTTACCAAGCTGAAGCAGAGGACATTCACACATAAACTGAAAGGTGGGTCACCCACACCTTACTCTTTCTGCAAACGTGTTGCCTTTTAGTGCGCAATACATATCACGCCTACTCTGACAATTAAAAAAAAGGTTCTAATACTTAAATCACGTGCTCATGATTTCAGGACTTGCCATTTGTTTAGATGTGTCAGGATCAACATACATGTATTCTATATACAGTATACTGTACTTCCGTATACTTTTTCTTTGCTTCCATACACTTGCAATGTCCTATGCGCTGTCTGATGTACCAGCCTGCTATGTCGGGTACCACCAGCCATGCATCGACTAGGCGCCAGGTGCGAACTGATAATGGTGGTGGTGAGAAGGAGAGCTCTGTGCCAGAACGTTGCAGAGAGTGCGTTTGGACGGGCGTGTATTTACCGCCATATTGCCAGGTGTGTGTTTGCCACCATTTAGATCAACTACTTGTTCATTCTGGTTGCTGCTGTTCCTACTGCTTGTAAAGCCTCACATTCCACATCGATAGTGTGCTGGTTACTTCCTCCACCACCTGCACAGAAGCGAGAGGCATGTGATTGTGAATTGTTCTCAGGTACTACTCATCAGGAGCCTAGTGCTGGTTATGTGTTTTCATACAGTGTAGCACAAGAGTGCACAGCTGACATTGGTTGCTTTCTTGGCTAAGTTTTGGGGGTACTAGGATATCATGTAACTGACAAAGAGCATAGCAAGCAGTTCAAGCTGGCTTCAAGCAGGTGTTCTGCTACACAGGTGCATGTGAGCTAGACATGTTGAGTTGCCTCTCAATGCAGGTCGATGACTCTCACGTTAACACAGGCGACGTGTTTGTCCCTCGGTCAGTGACATGTGTCTGTATGGCCAAACTGATTCAAGTCAAGTCACGTGGCATAATATAATGCCGGAGGATGGTCATTTTCGTAAATTAGACAACATGATTTCGCACAAATCATTCTAAGAGTGTAAAGAACTTACATTGACAATGCTCTCCATAGTAAGGATCAACACAACGACAATGGTATGATCCAACTGTGTCAATACAAAAACCCCTGGGCCGACAGGGATCAGGAGAACAGCGGTTGATGACGTCCCCTGTTTGGAAACGTGAAACACGACAACATATAAATACATTTCCACAAGCTGGCCAATGCATACAAAACCATCAAGGCACATCACTCCTTTGCTTCTTTCCTTCCACATTTGCCTGTGTGTTATTGGGCCTAGTTCCCGTTTAATGCATGAAGTAAAATAAAGAGGACTTGAAACAAACAAACAAATGACATGTTTGGCAGAACCGTTTACGGGGCAATGTCATTGGACAGTATGGACGCATGGAACGCAGTTGAAAAAGCCTAGGTCCACACCACGGGCATGTCTGCCTCAGTCCACGACATTAGCACCCTAGCCACAGCAATTGATGGTGACACCTGTGCTGCCATTAATTAATAGTCGACATGTTTACATCAGTATCTGAACCAGCTCAAAATAAGGGAAGACGAAGCCATTCAACTTAGGGTGCGTTCTTAAATTCTCTAGCTTCTAGGAGAAGAAGAAAAGAGAAGTCGAAGAAACTGGGATTCTTCAAGAACGGGTCTCGAAGAATTCGGAGACATTTTGCAGATGTCAAGCAAAATGAAGCGCCAAAGGGGCCGCGATCTTGAGTGCCACGAAAATAGTATGCGCTGTGCGTATGCGAAAAGGGAAATGCGTACACTCATGATCAACACTTGGCTTTTAGCCTAGTTCGCATGCGCTGATCCCAAACTGCGGGAATCTCCAAGTTTCAACCACCTCTGAAGCTTGGAGAGCTTGGAGAGCTTTGGATAGCCTCCTAAAATTTGGAGAGGATATAAGAACAGCTCTCGAACTTTTCGGAGAGTCTCCAACTTTTCCGAGAGGATTTAAGAACGCACCCTTATACTTAGTATTACTTTAATTCCCCGGTTATAAGTTGCACTCGACTATAAGTCTCACCATCTTTTTTTCATTTTTTCCGGTTTGAGCCATATTTAGATATATTGACTTCAGTACCACCGAGCATCAGCAAGTCGAATGTTCGGGTGGTATTTGAGAATCGTCACGAAAGACACTCAAAAAGTCTCGACTAGGGCTTTGTTCGTCTGTAAAGGGCCGCGAACAGAATATATGGTTCGAATGCAGCTCGGTCGCTCCATGAACATGAGCAGTGGTAACAGAGCTGCAGTACAAGATGGAGCAGTTGTTATAATACACGGCGCAGTCGTGACCTAGCCAGGGCAGCCATTAACAAATTCTACTTTTCTAGCAGAGCCATGCTAGAGCGAAAGCGTTTTTTGTGCACCCGCATATGATGTGCTCCCTTCGCACCGTCCTTGCCATTGTCCTCGTCCTTGTCGCCGACAACATCACTATCATTTCAAATCGCCCTTTGCGCTTTTCATAATGCTGATCAGCGCCCGCGAGAGCCGCTGGTGCTTGTAGCGCAGTGATAGCTTCTGCTTGATGTAGCACCTTTGCGTACTGAACCTAACACCTTGCACCATTGTCGCACAGACTCTGGAGTAGGGGTAGTTCTTTTCTGCAAGCTTTCCGGCAGTTCATTTGCACAAGAGTTTCCCTCAGGACTTGGCATATATTTTGATCAGGTCCATTGCCAGGTCTTCAACGAGCTTCAGAGTGTGTCCGCCGGATTACTGTGCGTTGCAAAATAGGAACAAAAACAGTCCCGGCGATCACGCGGGGAGTTTTCCGTCTCACCGTATGAGCTGCCTGGAAAAACTCGCCGTGAACTCGAAGAAATACTCTGCGTGAAAGCATGAAAAACCAAAATTCGCACCCTCACGTGCATGTACGTCTGGCATACAACATACAACTTCTTGCTCACATCAATATGAAGTGTCACAGAGGACAACTCGAAACTGTAATAAATGTTGAAGCATGAGTCCCATTTTTTTCTTCTTTTAGCTGCGTCCCTGCGATTCAATTTACTCTCACCATGTGACGAAAACGACATGGACACAGACTCATTCACTAGGCCATGACTTCGCAAAGCCATCGATCCGGGTGGCTCCGATGACACTTCGAGAAAAGCAGTTCCTGTGGAAGGTGCTAGACTCAAAACAAATGACGATTCTGAAATACTAACATAATTCTCAACAATAAGTCGATCGATCAATGAGCCTGTACAATCAACACGTAGCTACAGCGCAATGACTTCTACTCACTCACAGCGTTTCAGTGTTTTGTGTATGTTCACATGATGTGGGCCAGTAAAGTGTCAGGCAGTCGGCAGGAAGGGCGAGCTCCAACAACAAGTCGTTTGGGGCAGCCAACTTATTTGACTTGTTCACCGAAATAATGATTTGAACCAACAACTTTATGGTCAGCAGACTGCATTCATAACCACTAGGCCAAAAAACCCAGCTTCATGACTAATACCGACGAAGCCGCAACTTCTGATTGCGTATGGCTACAACTTGTAGTGGAAATGTACTGATATGCAACACTCATATCAAGGTAAAAAAAGTAAAGGAAGGAGGGCTGAGTTGTTACTTACATGCACAGAGCACCATTCGTTCTGCTGTTGAGTCGTCGACTGGTTTGAGATGGACGGTGGAATGTTGGTAGTCTATAGATTGGTTAGGTGTATTTGTCCAGAAATCTGAATCCTGGAAGTGGACTGTCACCGGTTGCAAGAATTCGTGTAAACATGTGGACCGCTGGAACCAGGGTTCATAAAAGAAGTGCCCGTTGCATTGTTCTAGAGCGTGTTCTTTCGTGAAACGATAAAATTCATTCCAGACCACAACCCGGAAGCGTACGTCTCCACATGTTGTCATTAAGGGTACTGTAAGGAAAGTAAGACAAAAACACAGAGACAGAATGTGTTCTAAGCTTCCTCAGAGGATTGAGAGCCCGGACAGAAGGCAGGAGAAAAGGACTCGCAAATACAGTCGTCCCTCTCTAATCCGGCCCTTGTTTATCCAGAAGCCTTGCAAACCAGCACCCTTTCTGGCAAAACGGATTTTTCAGTTCATTTTCAACGCTTCAATCCGCCACTTGAATTCCGCCTCCTGCAGCGATTTTCTGCAACAAATCACTCAAAGTGTACATTATTCGATTTTCTAATCCAGCAGTTGTACATCGCATACCGCACCGGTGCACAGTTATGTCAGTTTGGTCAGCGCATGAACTATTTTCTTAAAAGAATCAGGGAGCATTGTAGCATACACTACGCATGTAACGTGCACATGGGAATATCCTATGCCAGTGCATAGTATATTCCCAACTGTATGGTAGAGACATGCATTCCACAAAGTACTTCGATTGACACAGAAAATCCCTACGTTTTGACATACGACACAAACATGTATGTTGATAGGAGGAGGGCAGTATTTGATAATCCAGCACCCTTATTTTATCCGTCAGAAAATGCCATTGCAAAAGGTGTCGGGTTAGAGAGGGACAACTGTATACTGTCACCAGGCGTCGACACCTCGACACCAGCCTGCCTGAGTGCAGTGTGCAAACACAGAGTTCACAAACACTTTATAATCAACACGTGTGCGCACAATAAGCCTCAACGTGCTGTGCTGGAGGCAGTATATTGCCAAGCTGAAGCCTGAACTGTGTGCAAGGAAGAAGCATGTGCGATAAGTGTCACTGTTTTGACATTGTAGTTCCGTTATCCCCACCGCTGTTTGATAAAACCATTTGTAATGCTCGTCTTAGGGTGTAGTTGGCACCACTGGCGCTTTCTTACAACTGTATACTGTCACCAGGCGTCGACACCTCGACACCAGCCTGCCTGAGTGCAGTGTGCAAACACAGAGTTCACAAACACTTTATAATCAACACGTGTGCGCACAATAAGTCTCAACGTGCTGTGCTGGAGGCAGTATATTGCCAAGCTGAAGCCTGAACTGTGTGCAAGGAAGAAGCATGTGCGATAAGTGTCACTGTTTTGACATTGTAGTTCCGTTATCCCCACCGCTGTTTGATAAAACCATTTGTAATGCTCGTCTTAGGGTGTAGTTGGCACCACTGGCGCTTTCTTACAACTGTATACTGTCACCAGGCGTCGACACCTCGACACCAGCCTGCCTGAGTGCAGTGTGCAAACACAGAGTTCACAAACACTTTATAATCAACACGTGTGCGCACAATAAGTCTCAACGTGCTGTGCTGGAGGCAGTATATTGCCAAGCTGAAGCCTGAACTGTGTGCAAGGAAGAAGCATGTGCGATAAGTGTCACTGTTTTGACATTGTAGTTCCGTTATCCCCACCGCTGTTTGATAAAACCATTTGTAATGCTCGTCTTAGGGTGTAGTTGGCACCACTGGCGCTTTCTTAGGTGCTATTTTGTCACTGTTCTGACTGTCAAAGTGAAGGATTCGCAGAAGCTTTTTGCGAAGAGAGGCGTGATGCAATGGGATCTGTGACAGGGCGTTCAATGTGATCTCGCTAAATATCATTCACAGAAGAAGTCAGTGATGGGACGTGGCCTTGCTAATTTGGCGCCAAGTTCAATGCAGGTGAGTACATCACCATGGTATTCACATGGCCTGGTGCAACTTTTAAAATTTACAAGCAATAATTTGTTTGAAGTTATTGGTGTGAGTAATGGCTACCAAGGGTAGCAATGGTCGGCTTTAGAGCGCATGGAGGAGGAGAGTTAGTTTCTTGTAATAATTGAGCCTTTATAGAAAATGAAAAAGGACCAAGGAGCTATAAGTCACGCTATAATGCCCATTAACACCACCAGCTACTAAATAGTCAGCTTATGCGATAACATTGAACGACACTGACCGACGGTACTGACGTTGTACAACTAACTGGGTAACAGCTCTAGCACATCTTGGTTGCTCACTGGTGGTGTAAGTGGACATTATAACGTACATTGTACTACCTTGGTCCTTTTTCTTTTTCTATAAATTTATCCTTGGCTCTCCATCCGAGTCCATTTTTGAACCTTTGTGCAGCTTTGCCGCAGAAAATGTCAAAATCATACTCTCCATCCGTTGTCGCATTCAGAAAGTTGAACGAAGCTCAACTTCTGTGATGGCTCACTTGCAACAGTTGCGTGAGCTGCGAAATGGATGCGATTTGGGAATTTCCCGGTTTCGCCGGGAATGTTTTAAGCTCTACCAGAGCATGATAAAATATGACCACAGACCAGAAATTTGCTTTTCAGTTTTTGTTCAAAAATGATCAAACAAACCTAATGTTCACTGTCTTCAAGTTTTGCATTTTGATCTGACATGTCAAGATTGGCTACAATGGTATTATATGTAGCACTTTTGAAATGGTGAAATTCTATGTACAGCAATGGGGTTGTCATTTTTGTATACAGCTGATATGTCCCTTGGTTCATCCTTTCCGGATCAGTTCCTCTATACAGGGTTTTATAGAGTGAGCTGACAGGTACTCGGCCACATCCAAATTTTCTATAGGCCGCTGAGCTGGGTGCTGGATTTATACTTCATACTAGACTGTCCGACTGTCTATAGCGACCCGATTGCCTACAGAGTCCATGCTGCAGCTATTTACACTTTGCTTTGTGAGTATATAAACCAATACTGATCCAGATTTCTCATTACTGTTTTCTGATGATCACTTAGTGCGTGAAACTCGGAGTAAAAACACTGTCTCTGTCCTCCTATTGTTTGAGTCCAACATATCCTACTACAACTTCCTTTCTGCTCTGCAGATCTGGTTTTTCTTTCTCTTTTCGTTTGTCCTTCTTGATATTGGTACTTTGTACTGTTGAGGCAACGAACTGAAATAATAAAACCAAACCAAACCAAATCCATCAAGACCAGAGAATTGGTCCGGTTTAAGCAAGGCGGACTCTGATTCTCGTGCACACAAACAAGCAAACTTAATTCAAGCTTTAAACATAAGTAATCACATGCACATACACAAACGATAATCCTTCTCCGGACGAGTGAAATGATTAGACTTACATTCGCAAACTACACTTCGTCCATGTGCTGTGTCCAGGTCCACGCGGCTTAACAATGTTGCTTTCTCAATGGAGTAGGCCATTTTTTGGTCATTAGCTGCCCATATATATGGAGAACTAATCATGACACCTAGCTTTACAAGAAAGTCCTTAGCACATTCGGTTCTTTTATAATCTGATATATTGAACAAATTTCCACCTTGATATTTGCACCGTATGTCTGCCGCTTTCCAGGTATGCTCATTGAACGGATGAGCAAATAATCTGACTATTTGAGCAGCAGCCCTGGCAGGCTGAAATTCGCAAAGCACTCTTAAAGGAGCTGTACAACAGTGCAAAGCAGAGGAATCATTCACTCAACAGTTAACATTAGTGACAGTGCAGGTCAACTTCCTACATAATAATAATGCACAGAGGCAATATGCTTTGGTTCTGCAAGAGTGCTCAATGCCTGATTCAGGCAGAGCAGCATACACAATGGCACACGATGAAAACCTTGGCAAATTAATTCCGTTGTGACTCAGAGTTTCATGGCTGAACCAATCATCGTTGTCTTGTGTGTCTTTGTGTACATAATAATAATGGTATTTAAAATATTTTCTGAAAGAGGGCGGAGGCGTATAATACTTTACAAAACGAAGGTAAGTTTTGGGTCGCAAGAATCCACGCAAACACACATCCAGGCAAATAAGGCACTGTCAAAAGTATCCGAACGTTTTCGGTCCCATCTTCTATTCGGCCCCTTCTCTTCAAGGATTGTACAGGAAATGGCTCAAGTTTGAAAGACTACAACTTATGTAGCGTAAAGTTAATGAGATAACAACATTCGTGACAAGGTGGGAAATTATCAAGTTCAGAACGACACAAAACTCGAAGGACAATAATAATAATTATGTAAACAGGCGACGTGGAGACAATAATCTTAATAACGCAATGAACATTACTAAATTGTCGCTGCATTCTGTTGGTGTTAATTTGCTCACTATCATTATTTTCATAATGCAATGAATAATTTTAACTAAATGCGCACTCATATCACAACCATGGGGACGAATAATGTATTCCAGAACATTTTCTTGCCACAATTATCAATGAAATTCGTGGCTAAAGAGAATGATGAAACTACAATCGGATTTATACACTTGGAATGAAGCAACGAGGATACAAGAATAGTAAGAAAAATTTGCACAGGTAATAAACTATACAGGTGAGAAAAAAATGATAGGAAATTCAGCAAGTGCAGTGTGACAATGGACATGCATGTGCAAGTTATGATGATTCTTGGTTCAGTGTTGTTCGTTCTGCAAGTAGTTTCAAGCAGTTGAAAGTCCTAGAAGCATTCTACATTCGCGTTCGTGATCCAAATCTTTGTAAACAAAAAGAAAATGTCACCGCACTTACACTATTCCAGTAAATTCACACTGACACACACTTGCATATGCATGTCCATTATCACACTGCACTTGCTGAATTTCCTATCATTTCTCACCTGTATAGTTTTTTTACCTGTGCAAGTTTGCGCTATTTTCTTACTGTTCTTGTATCCTCGTTGCTTCACTCCAAGTGTATAAATCCTATTGTAGTTTCATCATTCACTTTAGTCGCGAATTCCATTGATAATTGTGACAAGAAAACTTTCTGGAATACATTATTCGTCCCCATGGTTGTGATAGGACTGGGCATTTAGCTATATTCATTGCATTATGAAAATAATAGTACTGAGCAAATTAATGCCAACAAATTGCAGCGACAACACTGCGAAAACATGATCACTGTACATCTCACGACAATTGGTACGGGCTGACAGATGTTGCTTGATTGACGAAGTGCGATTCCTAGCTCCGTTGGGTGTTGTCTCCTCCAATGTCCCGTCATCTCGCCTCTTCGCGGCACCACCACTATCCGTCTCTGTCTGTTTTCACGGCCTTCCACGTTTCCTGACAATGGCCGATGTGTGTGCGATGCCCAGTGTCTTTTCAGCTACGTCTCCTCCATTGCGGTCTCCTGTTGAGCTTCTTACTTACTCCAACTTGTCCGGTGTCCGATGTAGAGGTTCGTTTTCGCGGTCTACAGCATTTTCCAATATTCACTTTTGTTGTCACTTCCGTTGTCATTGTACATGCGTCCTCACCAGGCTGTATTTTCACTTGGCTTCGCGTAACCCTTCCCGACACCTACAGATCCTTTGTCAGTTTCGGTGGTTTACGTGTCTGTCTTTCACCATCTCTCACGCTCTTCTGAGCTGGCCCCTGGCCTACGCACACAGAGGAGGAAGGGCATGTAGTCAAATCTTCACCGGAAGAGGAAGAACCACAGATGGACTGGACAGCACATTTTGGAGGACGACCACGGCGAGGACAACACTCGCTCGCATCAAGCGGAACAAAACTTAACGGCACATGTTGACGAATGCGTGCGCCATGGTGCTGAAGGGTTCTACCTACATACCGATCTTCACATTGTCGGCATTGAAAGCTATAGATATTAAAGGGACTAAGGGTAGGTAGAACGTCCTTCTTCACACTGAACGCATGTACTGTCCCATATATGACGTACAGCTTGACGCACGAATAATATGGACATACGATACCACGAACATCCTTCTGCATGCGCATAGAACCGGCACCAACCCAGGGTAAACAGAGCAACACTGGGCAACGGTCAGGTCCAAATTGGATAGGCTTGACTGTCGCCGGTTTTCCGTTGATGAGCTTGGCCAGAAATGCCTTTGGATAACCATTTTTCGTAATATTGATATCAGTCTGTCTAATTCGTCCTGCAATAGATGAAGGGGACATATTCTATGTGCACGGTAAACTAGCGCTTTCACAAGATGTCTCTTCGATTTCGTTGGAGTATAGCTCCCCCATGGAATATAGAGGCCAGTGAAAGCTGGCTTCCTATAGATAATGGTGTCTAAACTCCTAGTGTTAGTATTGCGTGATATTTGTACATCTAACAAGGACCAAGCGGCGAGCCCATGGCAAAGCCATCTATTTGTTTAAACATAACACTGCCAAATGAAAATTCAACGCCAGACATAACCATTAACATGAGTTTCACAAACTCATTTTCATTCGAAGCCGGCGGAGTAGTGGACTTATTGTGGTACAGTGTTGTTGCGCAGATGTCAATGGTTTCCCGCAGTGGCACGTTAGTAAATAAGCTGACCACGTTATACGAACACATACATCCGCTCGATTCAAAGTTTGCGTCCCTTTGCGTCCCTTTGTGCACTTCGTCAATCAAGCAACATCAGCCCGTACCAATTGTCGTGAGTTGTACAGTGATAATGTTTTCTCAATATTGTTACGTGGTAGATGTGCGTTGCATTTGCCTGTGTTAGAAGCTTTGTGTATCCGTAAGTTAGATCCTCCACTTTGCGTACAGAAAGAAAATGCGTTGCCGCTGCCATTGTTTGGTGTTACTCCTCGTCGAGGTGGTAACAGTGTATCTTAATGTGCTCACTATGTTGTTGTGGCTATTATTAATTTCCTTCGAGTTTTGTGTCGTTCCGAACTTGATAATTTCCCACCTTGTTACGAGTGTTTTTATCTCATTATCTTTACGCTATATACGTTTTAGTCTTTCAAACTTGAGCCATTCCCTGTACAATCCTTGAAGATAACCGCAATCAGTAATACAAGCTGGATCGACATTTGTGTACACTGTATTCATGTATGCATGCATTGTCTCCACAGTTTTACAATACATGAATACAGTGTACACAAATGTCGATCCAGCTTGTATTACTGATTGCGGTTATCAAATTGTTGTCTCCTCGCCGTTTGTTCAAATCCTTGAAGAGAAGGAATTTGTGATTACATCATATTTGGCGCACATCTGAGGCGGGAAATGGCGTAGTGCGTACAACTGAGCCGCAGTTGTGCAGAAAGAGACCTGCTTGAAACCTGCTTGTGCGCACTACATCACTAAAATGATGTAATCACGGAATTCCGCCGTGGCAGCTACCCATCCGAGCTGCACACTCTGGTTTTCATGCACTCTTGATACCGCCGAAGTCGCAAATTCTTTGAAAAGTGGATGTTGAGCCAATGATAAAATGCGATGAATAGTATTAATGCGGTGAACATTATGATGGTGGACATTACGAAAAGGAAAAAAAGAGGCAAAAATAATGTTCAATCTAAATGCAACTTTTCCCCAGCTAGTTGTCTAGGCATATTCACAGTCACAATATGGGCGTTGCTTGAAACCTGCTTGTGCGCACTACATCACTAAAATGATGTAATCACGGAATTCCGCCGTGGCAGCTACCCATCCGAGCTGCACACTCTGGTTTTCATGCACTCTTGATACCGCCGAAGTCGCAAATTCTTTGAAAAGTGGATGTTGAGCCAATGATAAAATGCGATGAATAGTATTAATGCGGTGAACATTATGATGGTGGACATTACGAAAAGGAAAAAAAGAGGCAAAAATAATGTTCAATCTAAATGCAACTTTTCCCCAGCTAGTTGTCTAGGCATATTCACAGTCACAATATGGGCGTTAATCAGCAAAATGATCCTTAGGGGTTTCTTATCTTTTCGAGAAAAGGTTGATTTGTGACGTACCACGATTTTTTGATCGCACTGTAGACAGCGCGACCAGTTCTTCTTGAACTTCTTCCTCGACGCTATCTTTATTACAATTGTATTTGAAGTGGTGTCAAGTGACAACTCATGTGTTCCTTGGTCTTGTCGCGATCGTGGTGGATGCCAGGGCTGCTCGCAGAGCATGCGTGGTGGTCATTCTGTAAAGTTCGAGAATTGAATTTGATCACTTTAGGCAATATATTACTATAGACGATTATTACAAACAATAGGAGGACAGAGGAAGTGTTTTTACTCAGAGTTTCACGCGCTAAGCGATCATCTGATGATCATCTGATGATCGCTTAGTGCGTGAAACTCTGAGTTAAAACACTTCCTCTGTCCTCCTATTGTTTGAACCAGCTCTACCACTCGGTATTGAGCACTCTCTTGGACAGCCTGGAACCTCTCTGTTTTTTAGACGATTCTTACTATACGCGGCAACTGTGTATACTTAGTTATGGCAAATGAAAATGAATTTTTGTTGATCACTATAGCCGCTATAGTACTATAGCTGCCAACCTTATAGGTGCCAAGAACAAAACAAACGAAACACACAATAGCCGTATGAAATTGAGCGTATGAATATAACCCGGAGCTCGCTTCGTTTCCTGATTGCAAGAAACAATTCCATGAGCCACTCGCCTGTATTCCTGGCATACCAATTATGGGATTCTCTTCCTCAGCAATTAAAGTCCAGCAACACCCGCAATGCGTTTTAAAGGTTGATAAAAATACATGTACGTCGATCTTCATTTACTAATCGTTGATTTTAATTTTCGTTGTGTATTACTTCAAGCTCCAAAGTAAATCACATTTGCTAACTTTACAATTGATTTTGGTTTTGGATGGATTTACTTTTATTTCATTGAAACTCGTATATTGAGCAAATAATAAATGTAGAAAGGAAAAGGACATATGGATACGAGTTAAGAGTAACTCTCCATCACTGTAACCAGATACTATATACAGTCAGAAAGCGCAAAGACTAGGCACTAAACTGACAGAGTACTGAGACATTCGACATTCTGACACCTAGCTTCAACACATCTCCATAGCGCTAACCGACAGCCTTGCAATTTGGAAGGTTCAAGGTTATGGAAAGACGAAAGAGGGGATGGCAAGCGCAACGAAAATCAGCACTAGCTACAGTCCCAACGGAACAAAGAATGTTGATTGTTAGTGGACGATGACGAGGCCAGTAGGATACTTGACAAAGCGGTCTAACTACAATTCGAAGCAGCACACAAGCAGCACACCACCCAACTTGGGTGAGTCATAAATATCAAAGATAAGTAAAGAAGGTGGAAGCTTTGCGAAAACGAATTGTACACGCCAACAGCCAAACTCCTTCAGTACTCCTCATACATGACATTGTGATGGACTAGTTGCACTTTCTGTCTGTACATAGTATCTAACTAGGTAACTTACACTGCTGGACAGTTACTCTTAAATCGTATCCATATGTCCTTTTACTCCACACCAGAGGCTTTGTAATTGTTCGAGAACTGTGGCAATACGCCCAGTGAGAGGCAGGGTTTGCCTGTGCTTCTGGTGAAGTAAAATAAAGCTAAACAAACAAACACACGCCTACACCCATTTCACCCAAAGAACATCCAAAAGTTCAAGACGACAGCTTATCACCATCTCCTCAGAAGGAACTGGCGCTGGGCCACTCATAGCATACGCAAGTAAGAGGGTACAGTGTCCTACCCTGCTTGGACATACATGTAATCTATCCTCACAGACAGTCTCCTCTTGAATTTAAAAGTCTAACAGCGTTCACATCAATACTCAACTTATTATTTTGCTCGCTGAGCAATACAGTCTTTCCATTTTCTTTCTTCTGTTTTCTTTTTCAATTTAATCCTCCCTACCCAATTTCCCTTTGGTGCGTCCATGGAGCTATGAAGCCGAGACCTCTGGTTGGCGGAGCTTAATGGGCCCCACCACCACACTCCATTATTCACCCCAGTGTCTGGAGATACGTGGATTTTGTAGAGAGAAAAAACAAAACAAAACAAAAACACATGCAATCTATTTGTACACTGCTTAACTTGCTGCGTGGGTCTCCCCTTGGAGGAGGAGAGAGCGGTTGAGAAGAAATCTTGGAAATACGACTCAATTGGCTATTGAACCGCCCGAATGCAGGCAACCCCGAATCAACAACCTACAGGCAGACTTGAAATTATAACTCCACTGATGGGCACGCCACGCCACAGCAATGGGGCAAGGACAAGGCTAGAGAAAGTATTGATGTCATCTAAGTATCCCTACCGCATGCACGCACTCACAATACCTCTGGTATATGTATGCATTATGTATCTTTGTGAAGAAGAAGTTGGTGCGACTTCTGCGATACTAGGGGAAGAGTGTGTTGCTCCCTACATACATTACAGAGCTTACCCTCGCAAATTGTTGTTGCCATATGTGGTGATTGTTCACGTCCGTCACTATCAATAGCGCGGCTATTCCCCAGCCAGGCAAGTCCTGGTACCTGACTGGCTGTCATGTACTGTCTAAGGCAAGCACGATTGTTTGGCAAGATCAGGGCAAATGCCCTGCAACGGATTTTTGCCTCTTCTAAGGTGTGTATAAGTAACTGCGGGCTTTCGTAATTGTCTTTGTAATACGGCACCTTCAACAGGTAAGTGTTTGGCATACATTTGAGTGGGTCATAGAACCAATCTGCATGGAGAAAATACAATAACATGAACAAATACAAAGGCAACAAAGAGAACAAATTCTGCTGTCATCGCCACACTACAACGAAGTTATGAAAGTTTTCCAAAATCGATTTTATAAAATGCTAAGAGAATAGTCTAAGTTTAGTGCAGCCACCGACGCCCTATGACACGGTTTAGACCAGTGCCTCACTAGCATCCTCCCCCCCCCTCCCCCTTACCACAATGTGACGTTATCTTTCACTCTGCTTCTCTCACGACCATCTACCCATTGTCCTTGTTTCTCACTATTATTCATTTCCCCTCTTCCTCCCCTCTTCATGGTTTCACTGCATTATGGCGCGCTTTGTCTGCGTAGACGCCGAGACCTTTGAGGTCGGCAGAGCAGCCTGGCCCCGCCACCACTTCTCGCACATATTCGGGAATATAGTGGACTTTCGTATAAATAATATAAAAAATAAAAAATAAATAAAAGTGAAATTTTCTTTCTGCATGCATATGCTGGGGTTATGTTTGCGAATGAAAACAGCTTCCAATACTTTAAGTTCACTAAACCTACGAGCACGGCACAAAACTGTGAAACAAGAGTCATCATAAACTGAACGGCACTGACTGTTGGACAACAGGTGTTTCTTTATTGCGGATCTCTTTCCAGCATCATCACCCTCACCTTGCACCTGTCCACTGTTGGCCTCAACACCCTCATCCTGCTCTCCATCACTGCCAGTACGCTTCATCGTCCGTGGTCTGCCGATCCTCATCCTCCGTCAATATTGTTGTCACGTCCATTGCTGGTTCAGGTCCATGTCCATTGGTGGAATTCATTCGTGTTGATCGAGTCATGCTGCGTGTTATTGGTCGATGTGTTTAGCACCTGGGCTGCCTGTTAATCGTGTGGTCATCTCAGATAAAAGTTGGCGCCGAGTCATTTGTCGGATGTGAGTCTCTTTCAAGGGCTTAGTTGGTCGGCCTCATCTAGGCTGTAGGGCTCTAGCACTGTCTGATAATAGATACAGTGATACATGTTGTTTAACAAGTGCGTTCAGGTGCTGAAGGGTTCTTCCTACATATCGGCTAACACAATGCCGACATTCAAAGTGGTAGATTACATGGCTAATTAGTTGGGTAGGAAGAACGTCCTATTGGAAGGTGTTTTCATTCGCAAACAAAACCACGAACTATGCATCCAGAAAGAAAATGTCACCAAACTTAGACTATTCTCTCAGCATTCACACACACACCTACACCCACCCACATACCCATGCGCGTACTCCTTACACTTCACCCTCTCTGAGTCTCACATTGTTATTATTTCTCACCAGCCCACCCCTGTTATTAGTTCACACTTCTCTTGTCTTTCGCACTTCATCTTCTTCTCTCCTATTTTCTTTCACATACTGCATTTCGCACTCTTCCACGTATATCGTTTATTGCTACTTGTAGATTTCAGTATTGAGACGTATTTCCCTGACGAATGTCTCTGGAAAACGTGTTCGGCAACTTTTTTATCCGACTTTTTTTATCCATCTTCTATTTTGTTCATGACTACGTCCAATGTCCGCTTCGCTGATTCTACTTATTGCCTTTCCTTCAATGTTGTCCGTGAACAAGCTCCGGACACCGTCAATACCGTTGCGATGGTGGCTGAGCTTGAAGTGAGCGAGGGACAGACCGTTGTCGCCTGCCTTGCTGGCCATGAAGTTTGTCATGATCTTGGTTCTGACCATTCTCCCAAAGGTGCTTGCCCTCAACTTTGTTGATGCACGATGTGCCTGCTGTGCTTTGTACGAGTTGATGGTACAGCTGCTAGCGCGAAGTGAATCAGAGTCAAGTTCTGCTTTCCGGACAATTTTGGCCAGGGCCATCACATCCTCCATGGCATCATAGGCAGAAAAAGGCTCACCTCCAACTACATTGCTGTACAACTCAGTGACAGTATGCTGTTCTAAATTTGGATGCTTCTTCCAAAAGGCAGGCAAACTGTCTACAAATCTGTCCACATGGGACAGTAGAGCATCAGGTGCTTGGTCCCCAAGCACTCTGGCATCAAAACTGAAGCAGTTACAAGCCAGTAGCTGGCAGGAACCCTCTCATATCCATGGAGAAGAATGGTTTTGCCGCTTGCACGCCCAGGCGTCAGCTTCGTTACTTCGGAAGCTCACTTGTCAATTCCGTATGTAGGGATCGCATACCTGCAAAATGATGTGCTTGGGTTATCCAAATGAGTTATTTGACATCCTTGGTCAAGCCCAGTGGTCTCGAGATCGAAGACAATTACACGACTACCGGTCGCAATAGGTTGGTACGCCAGATCCCGAAAGGGAGGATGAGTTTCCGTGGTTACCCTATCCATGTCGGTAGCAGAACTCCTGGATTGGTACTGCGTCCCTTCTCGATTCTTGCGATGAATTTCGGTTGTCCTTCAGTTCTAATCTGCGCCAGCAAAACTGTCTTGTCCATTTCCTCGATGTGTGCATTTGCTTAGCGGATTCGATGGAGTTTGCATGCGCCTGAGTGTGACTCCCTGGAGAGAGTCCTACCGACTCATTCACAATGCATACATACGATGCTCCAATGTTTTTGGAGGCCACCTCACAACCAAGCCGGAAATTGTGAGCTTCAGAATCTCCAAAGTGTAATCTCTTGAATGCCACAGTCGCAAAGGCCAAATTCAAGGATTCGTTGCGGTTTGAACTGCCGCAGGAAGCTAGTTTCTCAGCATTGTTGGCCTGCTTTTCGAAGAGCTCCTCCAAAAACTTGCACAATCCTGGTGACTGCAAGGGCTTTCCGCGAGGTAGGCCTCTGTACTGGTAATTCGTGGAATCCGGAAGCTTTCGTGCGTTGCACTATTCACCACACAGATCATGACAGCCATATACGTGGTTAGTGACATTCAGAAGACTGCTGCGAACCTCAGCAACATTTGATGCTGTCCACAAAGCACTTGGTGACAAGGGCTGTTACTTTACTATTCTTTAGCTCAGGGTGCTGTGTTTTGGCGGAATCTAGCTTTGAGCCAAAGTTTTTCTTCGTGTGAGAGAGGTCTGCCCATTTGTCGATATCAGCGTCTGCTTCTTCTCTCACTCTCTTAATAGTGGCTGCATCACCAAATGGCATCATCGTAGCAAGCTGAATTCCATTACCTTGGCTGTCTTTGGTCACGCTTACGACAATATCGGGTTCCATGGCTTTGGAGGACTTCTCCCAGTTCTTCCTGCAGTCGTATGCCTTGGCCACGGCACACTTCTTTTCAGCATCACGGCAAATATGGCAATCCCTTAGTCGGCTGTCATAGCCTAACACGTTCCCACTGTGACGGCCAGTCAAGGCTCCAACACCAACGCGACTGTTCATGGCACGACCTCTCTTCACCCACCCACAGTCGTAGCTGCCGATTACTCTCACTTTCTCGGTTTCTGATACTGTTGTTGGCCCAGGTGTGACCTCACCAACGGACTGAACGGCAACCAGTGTACTTTGTGGCAAATGTGTTCTGGAGTTTGTGCCGGCATTCCCAGTGGTGCTAGCATAGGGACACGGGCATGGTGTGCTGACTGAGCTTGCAATATTACACTGCTCCGGAATTTGACTTGCAGATGCTTGAATTGCATTTGGTGAGCTCTGAGGCTGTGTTTGTTCAGCACAGGATGGGGAAGCAACTCCGCTGGATGCATCCGCGCATGGCTCTTGCATGTTCCAGGTGGCCAGTGGTTATGTTCCATTGTGTTGTGTACTTTCTTGGAGGGTGAGACTACGCTCTTGTGAACATGCATCTTTGCAACTCATTTTAGCAACTCGTTCAACAGCAGTACCCATTTCCCGTTCTCTGTTCTTTATAGATTTCCAGCTTGCTGTCGGTATATTTATTCCAGCCAGGAAGGCATTAGCTTGTGTGGCATTAGCCAACCCTTGAAGACATAAGAGCCAGCACGGCTTTAGAACTGATACCATATGCCTTGTGCCCACGTTTCTGACCGTTGAAAAGGAGCGTGTGTTTTGGACCATCTCATTTTAGTTAGGCTACCAAAACGTTTGCACTTCATTTCACGGATACTTCCAAGACCATATTTCTCTTTTCCCACATAGTACGACAGAGAGAGAGTTTGCGTTCACAGACAGTGCAACCATTATTCAGTTGCTCACAAAGGTACCTCAAATCAACAATTCTCCGCCCGTCGAGAAGAGGAGACGCCTCAGACGCCTCGGCAACCGTACAATCACCAAAAGGTGTACATGTAGCATATTCCATAAGTTGTCTTTGCCAATGCAGACATCAGCATACACTTGCACATCACAGTTATGGCAATCATCTAAATTGTACAAAAGAGAAAGACCAAGGAACTACAAGTTACGCTTCCGTAACAGTACAGTACCGTCGGTCAGTGTCGTGCAATGTTATTGCATGAGCTAATTGTTTAGTAACTGGTTGTGTTAGTTGACAGTGTAGCCTTGGCTCTCTATGTGAATCTATATTGTAGTTGATGGTTACATTTCACTAAGAAAAAAATTGATCTATTCAACAATATGGTGCTCTGAATCATATTGATCAATGGCTGTTGCATACTGTGTCGAACGCATACACAATACTACTGTCTTGTAGTATGTATGTATGTATGTATGTATGTATGTATGTATGTATGTATGTATGTATGTATGTATGTATGTATGTATGTATGTATGTATGTATGTATGTATGTATGTATAACTCATAATCACAAAGTGATCGTAGAGGCATTAATCAGCGAGAGAATTGTGAATGATGTCTCTGAATCCAACTCTATCGTGTGCTGCATGAGAGAGAGCATGCAAGGGAAGACCGGTCCAACTTTTAATGCAGTCTGAAAACTCTGCTAATAATGTGGATCGACTTCGTAGACCTAAAAGGTAGATTGAAAAAAGTGAGATTGTAAGCTGTGATATTTCTGCATTACAGTCCATTCAGAAAAAAATGAACTTCTAGCTTTTGGCCATAAATGGGTCAAACGTTGAGTTTTTTTAGAATTTTTTTCTGCAATCCCATATGGAATCCTCTTCCAATTATGTTTCTGAAGTTTTTTTGTCCAAAAAGCAAGCCATAGGAAGAATAGGATTTCGGCCAGGTTTTGCCCCAAAAGCACCGAATTGGGAAAAACCATCAAAATCCAGGCCGTTTGACCCCGCCTGCAACAGTGCATTCTGCGGTTCGAACCCCAGTTCAGGCACCCTTTTTGGACCCTTTTTCAAATTTCAAAGTTCGCAGCACTGCACTGTGTACGATGAAATCACGAAAAATCGCCAAATACGGGAGCTCGCCAGAGCCAGGACCCATTTTTTTATGAATGGACTGTAGTGGGCAGCGTTGAAAATATAATTACGAGAATTCAGTCAGGTACAAACTTAAGGGTGGCTATGTGCAATCTTGTGCCACTTGTTTGCCAGGTTCTACTCCAATGTTTTTAATTACATGTGTAAGTATAATCATCTCCAGGTTGTGTATAATAATAATAATAATAATAATAATAACATCTTTATTAGGATGACCCAGAGGCTTGTCGCCTATCAAGGGGTTCACCGCTTTGAAGGGTGTACTTGTAGATGTATAATCATACATGCCTGAGAAAGGGTACTCCAGTAACAACTTTCATACAAAACGGCAACAGCAGGGCGGCAGGTTAGGCCAACACTAGTGCAGAATCATAGGTGTGCAGAACGTGTAGAGCAGCCGGCTAAAGGTAACGTACAACATATATTATATTTTCAAAGGTCTCATTTCCAAAGACCTGAATCGGTCGTCTGTTCATCAACCAGAGCGGACGTTCCGTCACCAACAGCATCACCAATAGCATCAGCATTCACAGTACTTTGATCTCTCGCAGGGCGACATCATCCTGAGAATACATCAACATTTGAAAACACAGAACACAATTTCCACTGGACGCCATTCTAAAACAAGTTGCGCACCAAAGCAAAATGTACGTACCTGCTGTGAACTCTGCGACCCTACACAGGATATCGAGACCGTCTCTTCCTCAGTCGACACTCCTTCATCATCCTGGCAACACAATGAAAGATCGTTTGATCTCGCTCAGGGCTGTCGTAATCGTAGTTCTCAAGTCCAGGAAATCTTACACTTACACTGATTTCAAAGGCACCGCCGCGCCACAAATTCTTCAGTGACAAAGAGGCTCCAGAGGAGGGCTTTACAGGCTGAACCATCTCAGCAAATTACGAGCACGGGCACAAGTAACTAACTTGGCTTCTTCACACAATTCGACTGCTTCTGACTGCATTTGACTACAGTGAAAATCAAATTTTTGAATTGAAGTAAAAGTTAGTTCCCGCGACTTCCATTCCGCGATCGAAGCACACCAAATGCGATGATTAATCATGACATCACCCTGCGCAGCAGGATGCGCGAAAGACGAGTTTCTTGATTTGGGTACGAGCCACCTTAAATACACAGGCCTTCTAAAAAAATGCGGCGACAGAGGTCTTGGCCATACTCCACCTTTTCTACTACATCCTGAACTGGTCACCACCATGCGCTGTTAGCCGAACCAATGCACAAAGTAAAAAATATCAGTACAAGCAAGGACATTTCACTTGACAGAGAACTACAATTATTATACTTACTCAAGGCCCGGCTGCAGACTGCATGTCTTTTTATTCCGCAGTTGCCACCAGCAACTGGATTTCTGCCAATCATATATGGGCAACCAGTCAAGTTGGACTGGTCAGTGATCACCCAGTAACTATTGGTGTCATTGTCAAGATGAAACGTATCTGCCAGCTTGTCACGGGACAGTGCAACATACTTTCCAAAGGCATAATAGTAGTAGACCCTTGATCCGCCAGAAAAAGAAGTGCAAAATGGCCAGACGTCATCATGGGCTAGAGGAACCCCCCGGAACACCTTTGCACTCATAGAGTAGTTAGATATCCTCTTCCAGCCTGTGGTGCAGAGGAAAAAAACAAGGAAAGTAAAATGGCAAAGCAAGGAATATTCGAACACTTTATATTAGGCCATCATTTTTTGTATCTATGTTTCGCGTCGTCCGCACGCATACGTTTTGCCTTTTTTCGGAAAAAATAAAAATAAAAATCGAACATGCACAGTGAGTGTACAATTGTGCAAATCATCAGTGTTGACTGGTTGCATACGGCGAAGCTGGGATTCAGAAATGGCCTCAAGGCCAACGTTGGTAAATCGTTTGTTCGGCATCTGCGAGCAGTATTCTATGAGCTTACACCAGACCGCATCGCTCGCCTCAAGTTGAGAGGATGCGTCGCTCCGGACCTCTTTGCACCGCTGCTGAAGTCTGAGTACAATAGTCCAGCGAAGCATGGGCACCAACGGTTGCCTCCTCTGTCCAAAGTGAATATTTACTCACGCTGATAAGTTGCAGTGATAACCCAGATGTTGTGCTTGGATGTAGGATTTTTCTTTCGAATGCACAACATGCACAAGGTACAGTGCGTATCGGTTATAGCGTGGTCGTGTAAAAGAATATACTGCCTACAAGAATGAACTCTCATGTTTTCATGATCATAACATGGATTTCAAGTGCACATTTATTCTTACTAGCAATTTTATCCCATAGTGGAATATATCGGTCCTAAGAATGGACTTTTTGTAGCGAAACATGCCAGATTAGTACAAAGTGTATCGCATGTAGTAATAACATCTGTCCAATGCCGTTCTGATGTGACTCTCGTTGCGTCGTAGTGCTGCAGATTCAACTGTTGTGGCCATGTAACTCATTTTGCATGGCCACATGGTAAGCCTATGGGACTATGACCAGCCACATGTACAGAAGTACTGCGTTGCATGTACGATGATCTTCCTGCCCCTGCGCACATGCATATGATATGTCACACTTGATTTATCGTGTGTAAGAAATATCGGAAATAAGAATAGAATGTCGTTTTTCAAACACCCACGCTATAACCGATACCTACTGTATTGTGCTATGTACAGTGCTATACCTGATGAGCTTTTTTTATTTTTTTTGCAATTTTTTATTTTTTTCCACCTCTCGCATATGATTCTGGAAGTTGAACTGACGCAAAACATAGATATACAAAATGATGGCCTTACTGGAACCAGGGATATGAGTACAGTTCAAGTGGTAACATTCAAAATAAATAATATTACTTGGTAATTCTGCTGGTCTCGAATCACGCTCAAAGGCAGTGCGTGTCTGTCGCCTTGCCGCTCAGAAGGTGAGTGAGACTGTTCGCATGTTGGCTGTAAGAGTTATCTACGTTCGTCGCAATAATGCCTTTGTTTGAAACACAAAGGCAACGCCACATCAGTGCCCTTTTTCGCCTCTTGCTCTTGTCGTACTTTCGAAGTGCTTGCCGATCAGCACCCACGCGAGCTGCTGGTGCTTGTGCATGCAGCGCAGTGATAGCTTCCACTTAATGTAGCACCTGTGCGCCCTGCATCTACAAAGTCTTAATGCCCTGCACCATCCTTTTTGGCTAGCTTCCTGAAAGTCCTTTGCAGGAGGGTTTCCCTCAAGACTTGGTGTGTATTGTAATTAGCTCCATTGCCCAGTCCCCTGTGAGGTTCAGAGTGTGTCGGCCAGATTAGTCTCACTTTCTGGAGATGTAGACAAGAGCTGCAGTTTCTTCGTCAGCCATTTGCTGGTGATAGCCCTTCACTAGGCGCTGTACTGTGCAAGCACTGAAATTCAAGCTCGCGAATCGCTTTTTCAGCTTTTCTATACCTCCCCGGGGTAAACAATCCTTGCCACCAGACAGCTGGAAGTAGGAAGAAATTGTATTCTTCATCGCTCTGAAATGCAAACATCCTGACCTATTTTACGGACTCGAGCGGAGGTTGCAGCGTTTCCTTTCGCTGACGGAAGTGTTCGTCGGTGACAGCTCCAGTCAAAAAGACTCGAACAAACCAATCTTAACTTCTGTGAAGGTTTGTGCTACCATGTTGTCGCATGAAATAGTAAATGGTTATGTCTGGATGGTGAATCGGTGGTTCCATGCCGTATGACACAGGCAGAGCACCGAAAAATCAGGTGCGAAGATAAGTGCCAATTTTAACTTGGCGGACCAAGTATTCAATTGTTCTTACTGTATAGTCAGAAGGGTAAGCACCAGCTTTCCATCTATAATTATTTTGTATAAAGTCCCCACTACCTGCGCTTTGCAGGCCACCTTCGTCAGCTAACCAGCAAAATGACTCCAAGCAGTTGTAGATAGCAGTATAAGTAAGTCCTACATACAGCTGTTTGAATCATGCAGATCTATCTCATCACCTAAGGTTTCAAGAATATTATAAAATGGCTGACATGTTACACAAACATCGGTGCGCTGTCTCCATATCCTAGAATATTTTGCCGGTTGGAATTTTAAACCCACATGCTCTTTCCCTCAGCGCTGCCAATTCACAACTGGAGATCAGATCAGGTTTAGTTTTGTTCAGGTAAATTGCCAACATGAGTTTGCGACACAGTGTGCAAGCCTGCAAAAGGGGCAGTTGTATACCAATGTTTGGTGTTAGTGATTAGCATTATACAGCTTTAACTGACACATCACCTCTTGCTCTAGATAGATATCTAGATATCCACGGTTTACGATGCCAAGCATTGCATTGCCAAGCATTGCATTGCCAAGCATTGCATTGGCAAGCATTGCATTGGCAAGCATTGCATTGGCAAGCATTGCATTGGCAAGCATTGCATTGTCAAGCATTGCATTGGCAAGCATTGCATTGCCAAGCATTGCATTGCCAAGCATTACATTGCCAAGCATTGCATTGCCAAGCATTGCATTGCCAAGCATTGCATTGCCAAGCATTGCATTGCCAAGCATTGCATTGCCAAGCATTGCATTGCCAAGCATTGCATTGCCAAGCATTGCATTGCCAAGCATTGCATTGCCAAGCATTGCATTGCCAAGCATTGCATTGCCAAGCATTGCATTACCAAGCATTGCATTGCCAAGCACTGCATTGCCAAGCATTGCATTGCCAAGCATTGCATTGGGCTTCTGCTAGTTGGTGTGTGTACCAAATGCACACACACACACAAGTTTACATAACCCAGTTGTTGGCAAATGTGTGTTTGCTTTCTCGCTAGTAACACGGAGTGTAGGCCGTGAGACCAACCCATCCGAGCTGCACACTCTGGGTTTCCCGTACATCCGCGTCACGCGAAATAACGCATCTATGAGCGACATCCACCGAACTTGCCAGGAGAGTACACATGTACTCGAGCCTCATCCTGAGCATGCTTTTCTTCTTTTTCAGCTGCAGTATGGCTGTATTTTTCATTGCAAAGCCATCCTCGATTGTTATGTTCGTTGTTGAAACGAAGTGGACATTCTCTCAAGAAGGCCGAGGACATAAGAGCCTGATTGGAGTTTCTCGTGGCATAGGACGGCCACACAAAGACACTTTGCGATTTTCTGAATATAAAATACCGTACGCATGATGTAGAGTTTGATTTGGGAGATATCAAAATTGAACGGGATTCAAACACAAGCTTACCGGCGGTTATGCTGCCGGCATGACTGGCAAATGATTCCTGGCTTCACCAGACGCCAGAAGTCGGAAATCATGTCCTTTGCCGCGACGTCCATCTCCAAAAAAAGGACTCCATCTTCGTCTAAAAAGGCTTGAGATACTCAATATTCAAACGAGCTTCGCTGTCTCATGCTTTCTCAGATCGAATCATTTCTTGTTGTCGCAATTGCAGGGCAGATCCTCGCCACTACTTCAACAGGGTTTCGCCTGAAAGCATGCCTGAAGCAAGCCATATCGAGGTTGCAAGCTACCCCTCTCAGCAATAAATTCGAAATGGTATACTTCGAAGAGAATATCAAAATGTATGGTTGGCCACGCGATCGTTCAACCTACATCATTCAAACTTCGCAGGATGGTTCGGACCTACATGCTAGGCATAGAACAACAGGGTGATGTCATAGCTGACACACAAAGTCACACACACAGCACAGATAGTGGATGTCGTCATCTCCTTCCCGCTGGTCTCAAATGTACTCTGACGTGCTATTTCGCCTGACCATGAAATGATCCAATTCATATTTTCTGAAAGAAGAAATGCGTCGATGTTTGAAGTAGAGTCCAGGCGAAGGACATTTGCTATCGTTCGAGTGAGGTATCTCTCACTTGAATGTGACAGTGCTGACGCAAATTCTGCTGAGGTCGGCACGGAGGGGGGGTATCAATCCCTGCAGAATGTTATTTTTAGTAGCCTAACTGCACTCATTAACCCTTTGGAGTCCATAACTTTTTTGCTTCCGCAGAATTTATAGCAGTCACGAAAATGCGCACGCAATTTCCAACATAACTTTGGTTCGACTTCACCGATTTTGAAGATCTTGGGCTCGTTGGAAAGCTCTTGATGAGAGAAATACAATGAGCCCAAACTCGCCTAGAGCACTACACATTGTCCGCCACAACACGCTCCAAACGCGAGTCCAGCTCCAGATCTGAGACGAAATCGGTCTCCTGCAGCCATCTCACTAACGTTGTGCTTTGGCGGCAGTCATGAGTCAGTCAAGTGTGAAGTTACTAGTATCCGGTCTGGAAGAGCCAGCTCTAACTTTGAGATTATATGTTTATTAGTAGTCCTCTCTTTTATGTACTGGCAAGTAACACACACCACAAAACACCCAAATTCACCAGCAGCAAATACCACTCACCGTCACAGCGGTTAGCATAGTTTCCGTTGAGGCTGGTATCATCGAAGCATTCACAGCGGTATGAACCATCAGTATTGATACAACGACTGTTTTCTGCACAATCATGATAACCTTCAGTGCATTCATCAAACTCCTCTAGAACAGCAAGAACAACAAACCCATTCGCACGCTCAGGTTCCCCAAACGAGATTTCAAAGCAAACATCCTACCTCTTGTCATATCTTCCGGATGTACTTGCTCACATTGCTCAGCACATCTAGCTCCATTGTGATAAACTCCCTAATGCCATCGCTACTATTTCCACAAGCAGCTAAACTTTGATCTCTCTTTATCTGATCCCTGTTTGCGGAACAGGTGTTCCCAAACAATTTCCTTCCCACCCTCCCACCCACTAGCTCAACTCATGTTTCTGGCGCACACGTGACGGTATCTGTATAGTCCACGAGAATATATGCTCTCAACTGGTTATGCATCTCTATATATGCTCTCAACTGGTTATGCATCTCTATATATCTAGCATCTGGCGGCTCTATTCAGAGTCATTGGCGGTTCCATGCGGAGGCATTGGCGGCTCCATGCGGAGTCATTCGGCTCCATGCGGAGTAATTGGCAGCTCCATGTGGAGTAATTCGGCGGCTCCATGCGGAGTCATTCGGCGGCTCCAGGCGGAGTCATTCGCCGGCTCCATGCGGAGTCATTTGCCGGCTCCATGCGGAGTCATTTGCCAGCTCCATGTGGAGTCATTCGCTGGCTCCATGCGGAGTCATTTGCCGGCTCCATGCGGAGTCATTCGCCTGCTCCATGCGGAGTCATTTGCCGGCTCCATGCGGAGTCATTTGCCGGCTCCATGCGGAGTCATTTGCTGGCTCAGCTGCGAGCCATCTAGGGGCTCCAAGTAGAGCCATTATACCAGTTGCTCGAATCGGCACTCCCAGCTTAATGCAAAACTCGTTGCTCTGTTGTGAGGTGGGGGGATGCTAATGGCAAATAATATCAGAAATTATAACGTTTAAAGAGTAGACAGAAGAAATGAACTGATAACAAATCATAAAAATAGAAGCACACCGGGGTCAAAACTATCTCACGGATTAAAAAGGGAAACCTCATTACACTTCCTGTAAAACGCTGGCGCAACCCGCCAGGAAAACCGCAGTTCGGAACCGAACTGAATACACTATGTTATATTTTAACATCGTCCCAGATTAATTAGATAGACCGTGGTTCACCATGATCAGACGAGACTAAACTGAATTCACACGCTCGCATAAAGCGAGACTGAAGAGAACAGGAAGACTGAAGGAAGACAGGAAAGAAAATGCCATATCTGGAATTAGCTTACACTGGCAATGTACATGGAGCTCCATCCTTTGAGACGCTAGCACTATCTGTCATGGAGCCCAATCCCTAGAGACACGCTGGCTGCCATCATGACTGGCTAGTTGTGGCGGGCGACAGGAGCAGCGGAACTGGGGCAGCGGCGGGTGATGGCGGGTGCTCCTTCAGCGAAACGTGGATGAAAACTAAAACTAAAATTGACGGCTGTCACAAATGTGTAGCGGCCATTACGTCGGAAAACATGCAACTAGAACAAAACTTTACCGCTGCCACCAATTTTGTAGCGTGCCTGGAGGCAAAACAACCTAACAACTCGAAACTGACTTTATTAACAATTTTCTCTCCCTCTAGAACGGCAAAACTGCCTCCAGCAGTAAAACTCTGAACTCATCGTGAAAGATAAAATAAATGCAATTTATGGAAAATAATCACAAACAGCAACGTACTGTCATGCGACCGTTGTATGGTAGAGCGAACGTCGTATTGAACAGTACGCTGAGCGATACACAAATGCTGAACTTGTAGCGAACATCGTATTGAACAGTGCGCTTGAGCTTGTAGCGTGACCAACGCATGACCAACGCTACAGTATAGCCCCTGCGACATGTGCGAGAGGTAGCAGGTACGAATCCAGCTTTGTTACATAATGGGTCTTGTTTTTTCTTCTTTTCTGCACAATGTTTCAGTTAAAATTGCCGACTTTTCCGTATTTTACACAATTTGGGAGAACTTGCGAGACATATGACGCTTAGCTTCTTCTTTTGGCACTATGAAGTGATTTGGCTTTTTTAACATTTAGCATTTTTCTTCTGGCTGTTTCTCTGCTCCGGATGGCTGTATCGAAACATGGGTGGTGGCAAATGAGAGCCAGTTTATTTGACCAGAAAATTTGGTGCATATAATTTAATTCTCCCTGCCACGTCGGTATACCTAGTAGTGGGCGCTTTGCTGTGTAAAATGTGTAAAATAAGCCCCTGAATGGACGAGGAGGGCAGTGAATTGCTTCCGCAGGGCCTTTGGACGACGTCAGGCCGTCTTGCCATCACTAAAGACAACAATGAAGAACAGAAGATCACGGGATACACTCTGTGAGAACGAAAACATTGCTGCGATGCTATGCTACCTATCCAATTCTACCGTATGACACAGCCACTAGTTACAAATACAAAAACACAACTTTGCGGCAGCATACAATGCAGTCTAGGAATGGGTTTGCTCCCACACTGGAGCTCGAGCTATTCCGCCGACGACTTGACACTTGACTGACTCACGACTGCCATCCAGAGAACACGAGAAGTCCATCGAACCTTCGACTCGGCAAACCTGTCCGCGTATTGTTGTGCCCAGCGCGGGCGTTCGACCAGTTTGTTTGGAGGTGGCAGCGTAGTGAATGATCGAGGGTCCTCTACGTCTGTTCTCACCGTCCAGGAGCGATAACTGACTCACACTGCTATCTGGTGTTCACGAGGTGTTTGCCGCACTGGAAACGGAGTGTCTCTGTAAGTTTGTATCTCTGGTGATGTTTGTGCCTGGACAGCACTATATAAGTGGTGCTCTTCAGGCACAATCTTCCTCAGCCTACTCGAGCTCAACTGATGAGGGGTGAATTCCCCGAAACACTGTGTATTGAGCAGGGAGTGGTGCTTTCTTGCAGGTTTGCCAAGTCGAAGGTTCGATGGACTTCTCGTGTTCTCTGGATAGCAGTCGTGAGTCAGTCAAGTGTCAAGTCGTCGGCGGAATAGCGCGAGCTCCAGTGTGGAAGCAAACCCATTCCTAAACAAAATCATCGCCGAAGTCGCAACTTCTACTTCATGCAATGCAGTTGACAGATTAATTTTCATCCACTAGCATTCCTTGAAGTGAGATCTATCAACTTCAGAACATTGATGACCGAATACCCCAGTTTGTGATGCCATTTTACAAATTTGTTAAAAAATGACACACCAATTATTTGAACACTGAGAAAACTATGAAAGTAGGACATGATTCAAGACACTTTCCAAAGTGGGATCATTCCCATTTTTGAGACAACAGGCATGAAGGATAGCACTTCCACTTGCAACAATTTATTTGGACGTAGCTTGCCTAGAAGTGGCTGAAGAAACGTCATTTTACAACCATGTTAAAAAAAGCCAAATCACTTCATATATCAAGTTAGTCAGTGTGATGGTAGTAGCCTTGGCCTCCATTTCCCAAAAGTTCAAAGGCCCAGTTGACAGGACCATAAACCAAACACGAAATCTTCGAACGAATAATCTTTCGAATAATTTCGTCCTTCATCGAACGAATAATCTATATTATTCTATCATGTGCATGCTGGAATTTTCAACACTTTTTCAGCAAACATAACTAGTAGTTTTTTTGCAATTTTTTATGATTATCGGTTTTTGTATTGTTCAAGTGCGCAATATGTCCAGTGGTTGTCTCTTGTTGTCGCACTACATGCCACGCTTATTGAGTTTTTTTGCACTTGCACCTTTGTATCATTATTGCTTTGTGTATAGGTCACGCATTTTCGCTGTTTACTTTAGCTATCTTCTTCTTTGCACTGTTTTACCACCTCCTTACTGTACTTAATCTACTTTTTTTCTGTTCAAATGCTTGCAGCATCATGCATGCTTACTCTGTGAAGGTAAATGGCGGATGGTTCAAAATATCCGTTTCAGCCCTCTAATTGGAGTACTGTAGGGTAACAAACATACTCGTACTGAAAGACCAGTAATGTTAACAAACACACCAGTGCCTGATCGAACTCTTACCAAAACATGCTGTCAAGTAGAGATGAGTGGCATCACCGTCAACCAAAACGGCATCGTACCAACTTGAGTTTTGTCCAAAGTGCAAAACCTTGTTGGGATCAGTAGTCCAGTACTGGTAATGTTTGTTGTTCTTCATCGTGTTGTATGCCAGGTACTTATAAGCACATGAAGATGAGTGGAACCTATTCTCAGGATTGAATAATGATCCAGAGCCGCACTGCTCTTTGGCAGCTGCGAAGTTTGGCAGAGCATCGTAAACGCTCACTAGAAAACCACTGCATTCTGGTCCTGGATACGCAACAAGAACAAGAACACCTCTCTATATGGTGTAAATCTCACTCCATTCCCTCGTATCGGCCACAGGCCATCGTGAGAATAAAGATTTGAAACCATGTGTGAGAAGAAATTGTTGCAAGCACTCCGCTCTTCAGTTGAGCTCTGGATTACTTTCACAAACAACTTTTGTATGCTCACTGCATTGTTTCCTCTTTCGAAACCTCATAATTGTTGTCAAACGGAAGATGTGTTCAATATGAATCCTTAGACAGATTCATCCATTACCAACCCACCCACATAACCATGAATTCGATTACACATCCTGAATGTCATCATGTATTTAGAGATAATTGTTTGGAAATCCTACCCTGTACTTGCAGGGCTAGTATGTTTTCGAACCTGTCTATATCCACACAATGAGACCAAACTTACATAAAAAATTAATAAAAACCGAACACATTCCCACTAAATCTGATCGGCAGGATATCAGCACGTCGTTAGTTCTGCCCAGCGGTCCACTTGTTATCTATTGTTATCCCACCCACGCTGAAATATCTACACATGTGGTGCATGGTTGTAGTTAGATTTCATCTTTGTCTACAGATCTTGGGTCAATTGTTAGCAGTGACTTAGCACCCCATATTTTGTTTCTATTCTCACGATTGCTCATACTTTTCTGAAGGAGCGCAAGATGCCCTGCAGCCATTCCATGACACTGAAAACCCTTCACACACCATTCTCAAAGTAAGTGGTCTCTTCACTGCGTATTTTTAATTTCTCGATCAAATGTTCAGCCATGGGCCATCATCAGTATTGAAGAGAAAAACAAATGTGGTGGACCTATATCATGCAACACAAGGTGGAATGACAACACACCATATTTGGTAAATGTACACCATCCTTGAAGCAAAGGCACACACAAACACGCAAATACCCAAACACAGAGACACACATTCACACTCACACTAACGCTCACAATACTGACCATCATACCCACACTCACCTGTGTAAACAAAAAAACAAAAATCTATTTTTGTATTTTGTTTAAAAGAGGTGTGAGGAGTGGTGGGACTAAACTGCTTTCAGGCTACAACATTGTGCTGAGCTGTTTAACAATAGTGTGAACAAGCACTTGATGACAACAGGACAGGACAGTGGCTGTAGTGACAGAGATCAAACCTCTCTATTGTTAGCAAGTATCGAGTACGATCACAATGAGTAAGTGATGAGTAATCGGCATGATTGCTTCATGCCTGAAATGATGTTTCCCTTTCCCCTTGTCATTCCTCCTGAGGCACCACTGCCCGGTACTAAATTATACCATGTTAGAGGACTGCTAGAAGAGATTCTTTTGCAGCATTATCAATTTTTCACTTACTTTCCCAACGTTCACAAAGGAATGGGAGGACAGTTGAGCAAGGTTCGTTGTGCTGATCAGACGGAGCTTCACCAGTGCGGATTGCTACACAGTTGCCATCCAGACCAGTAACCCAAAATAGTGAAGTCTGCTCTATGGGAAAGCGTTTAGTTATTGCATTGTAGTCATCAGTACTTGGTGGACGTGCAAGTTTACCAGTTTGGGATAAAGTTGAACAGTACTCATTAGCTCCTTGCTGAGTACGACGAAAATCAGTAAAGAGCCAATATTCCATTCCTTGTTGTTCCTTGGAAGCTGACCAAATGCCTATCAGAATACGTACACACCAGTATATAAAAACTGGGGATGAGTACATGTACTTGCAGCATATTATTGCTATTTACTGGATCCGACTTAGGAATGTGCACTTCACTTCAAAACTCAAGCATTTGTACAAATGCGCACCAGAACTAAAAAATCAACCAAGGGACGGTAGATAGATAACTACTGTATCGTCTGTTGGGCTGACCTTCTAGTTTTCATCGCTGATGGTGTCACTGGGCGCATTTGCAAGTGCGTCACCGTGCAAAACATTGATATTTTTTTTGTCGCCTTCAAGCTACGCTGCGCTTCCTTGATTGTTTCAATCATTAGGCCCGATTTTGACGATCGCCTTTGCCTCTTCCTCGTGCAGTGCAACTGCCAGAATGGTAGCTGTAGGAGTTTTGACCCGACATTCAAACGATACCTTCAGATGAGGCGAACAGGCAGACCACCACGCACCAATAAAATCACTTCTCATCACTGTGTTCCGTGCACTGACAGTCTGTGTCATACAGTTCGACCATGCGCGCTTATCCCTTACCTGTGTTGTACGAATCTATGGGCCACTAGTGGACTGTCAGTGTCACTGGAGACGATACGGAGCTTTCGCAGAGGCTTGATGTAAAGCCTCGCAGCTACGACGACTGCAAAATACATCAATGAACTGGACGACATGTTGCTTGCGCAGCTGCACGAGTTTCTGGATGATGCGGTTGCTGAAAGTCGCGACTGCAGCGAATTCAAACCGCCAGGAGAGAATCAAAAACGATCGCCCATGAGTTTCTAAGGAAAATAAGGATCTTGCACTGTTCTTATCATCCCTCTTCAATCTATCATTCCAAACCGGAGAAATCCCACAGGAGTGGAAAGATGCCACCATTACTCCAGTGCCCAAGCCTGGTGACCCAACCCAACCAACAAACTACAGACCCATCTCTCTTTTGAGCACTACAACAAAAATCCAAGAAAAAAGTGATTCGTTATCTCACATCTATCAGACATACATACTACCTATATTCTCATAAATATTATGTGAGCAATGCTCTCACACCGTTGTCACACACTTCCCTTGACAGGCTAGAACGACTCCAGCGGAAAGCCGCCAGAATATGTCTCCACCTTCCCCTTTACACACACTTAGAACACTCCCACCTTTTGCATCGCATCAAATGGCCAACATTATTTTCACGCTTTAAAGTTAAACATATACTCTTCGCGCATTCTCTGCACTACAATTATGCCCCACCACATATACTCTCGTTGCATACTGCCAGCAAGAGTGCAACCTTCGTATGAGTTACGTCGCTCTCGTACTTGGCACTTGCCAACTCCGAGGACTGATTGCTGTCTCCATTCTCCCCTGTACAAGGCCCTTCATTACTTTAATTGCTTGCCCACCCAGCTTCGCGAAATCCCTTCTCGGAGAGAGAGAGAGAGAGAGAGAGAGAGAGAGAGAGATAGAGAGAGAGAGAGAGAGAGAGAGAGAGAGAGAGAGAGAGAGAGAGAGAGAGAGAGAGAGAAAGAAAGAGAGAGAGAGATGGAGAGAGAGAGAGAGAGAGAGAGAGTTCACTATTATATCTTATTGCCCACTGGCTATCGTGAGAAAAAAGATTCAAAACAACAACAACACACACACAAACAGTTCCGCACCTACAAGGCGACCCAACTAGACTCAGATTGGAAACTGTACACAGCCCAGCGTAACCGAGTAACCGCTCTTTTGCGACAGGCTAAGTTCGATTTGTCCAGCAAACAACGTCAACGGGTACAAACCTCCACCGTCTACTGAAGCACCTGAAGAAACCGCCTAAGCAAACAATTCCCACACTATCGACAGCCAACTCCACTGCAGCCACGGCTATGGAGAAGGCAACAGCTCTCAACAAGTTCTTTATCTTCCAAAGCCAACAGTCCATCGACAAGACCACCTGTACTACACCAGACATCAACACTACCCCTGACATCAGTCATACTCTAAATACAATCGCAGCAACAGTGGAAGAGGTCGAGAAGCTTCTAAGCAGTCTAGACACTGGCAAGAGCCCAGGCTTTGACAACATCCCAACTCGGCTCCTGAAAGAAACTGCAAAGGAAATCTCCCCATCTCTCACTAGTCTCTACAATCTGTCCTTCAGAACCGGAGAAATACCACAGGATTGGAAAGACGCAACTATTACACCCATCCCAAAGTTGGACAACCCCTCCCATCCTACCAACTACCGACCCATCTCCCTGCTCAGTATAATATCAAAAAAACACAAGAAAAAATAGTCCACTCTCGTCTGTACAATCACATAGCACCACACTTACCCTCCAACCAATCCGGCTTCAGGAAACAAGACGGGACCGAACTGCAACTCGCACGGATCGTCCACCAGATATCCACAGCAAGGGATGCGGGGAAGCATGTTGTAACGTGTTTCTTCGATCTCAGTAAAGCCTTTGATCGTGTATGGCATCAAGGCTTGCTGAAAAAGCTGAGCCACTACGGTGTCGACGGCAAGGCTCACAACTGGCTCGAAGCCTACTTGTCAGGACGCAGACAGCGGGTGCAGGTTGAAGGCACAACATCCGCCTTCATACCAATACCAGCGGGAGTGCCCCAGGGCTTGGTCCTGGGACCACTTCTGTTCCTGGCGTACACCATTGACCTGCCCACTGCCTGTGAAAATGCTACAACCTCGTGTAGCCAGTTCGCGGACGACACCGTACAAAGCTGCGCTACAAAGAAGCGTCGATGCCGCAGCAGCATGGCTAGAGGGCTGGCACCTGCTAGTCAACAAAACGAAAACCGTCATCCTCCCGTTCTACCATGCTAACCGACCCCCACCATGACTACCCAAAATAAAACTTGGCCAAACCCTACTAGAAACAGTAACACATCGTCACCTCGGCATCATCTTTCAGCACGACATAAGATGGTCAGCCCACATTGACTTTGTGCTGAAGAAAGCCGTAAAATCTTTTAATATTCTCTTTAGGCTCAAATCAACTCTACACACTAAATCACTCTCTCTCATTTACAAAACATATATCCTGCCTATAATTGAATATGCATGCATTGCTGTCACCCCGCTCTCAATTGCAGCCCTTGACCGTCTTGAGCGAATCCAGCGCAAGGCGGCCAGAATCTGCCTCCGTCTCCCCCTCTTCACTCCTCTGGATCATTCAACACTGCTCCATCGGCTCAAATGGCCGACGATGTTCTCTCGCCGCAAAGTGAAGCTCACCCTTCTTGCTCACCCCATAAAATACCAATATGCCCCACAACACATACGCATGCTCAACACCCCGCTCAAGTTACGGCCCAGTACAGCCTTCGACACGCACCCACTTGGCACCTCCCACCCTCCAGAACCGATCACTGTAAAGACTCCCCACTTTACAAGTCCCTAGAATACTACAATGCCCTCCCTGCTAGCATTCGTGACGTCTCCTCCCGACCTGCTTTCAAACAAGAAATCTGCTCACTGCTGATTAAGTCAATCTGCTCCTGCAGCGCTCACCCTCTCCCATACTTCAAAATTCAAAGTGATGTAAATCACTTTCCAACTGTTTAACCCACAATCTCACCTTCTCATAAATTTATCTCTTATTGGTGATGGTGCCATCGTGAGAATAAAGAATTCAAACAACAACAACAATAACAACAACCTACTACTTGGAGACTTCAATGCCAAGAACAGTGCGTGGCTCACCACAGACAGAACAGATCGCCTTGGGGACGACATACAAACTCTTCTACACACATACGGCCTCACACAACATGTCAGATTCCCTACTTACATCCACCGACAAACACCTCTCTCATGTCTAGACCTTGTTATCTCCTCACTCCACAGCAATGATGTTCATATCCAATCACTTCCACCGTTTGGCGCATCCGATCACACTACTATCAGTGGCCACATCAATAATCAACTGCTCCCCATAATTAACAACTCCCCTCCACGATCCAGAAGCACCACATTCTGGTCATGGACAGACAGCACTTTGTTGATAGTGAAGGTTGCGAGAGGGCCACAAGCTATGAGAAATCGGAGGCTTTCGCACGTTTCTTTTCCCGCAAGTGCAGTGTGCAAGGCCGCGACCTTACCACGATGGACTTACCGGACACGGCATTCGCTGACGCACCTCCACTAACGACAGTCCACTTTCGCCCGGATGCAGTCCACCGGCTTTTAGCTCGCCTGGATGCCTCAAAGGCGACTGGACCCGACGGTATTTCCGCTCGTGTCTTGAAGGAATGCGCCAGAGAACTTGCCAAGCCACTGTGTCAGCTCTTTGCTCTTTGCTTCCAGCACGGAGTCCAGCCACAAATGTGGAAGACTGCCAGCGTGGTTCCAATCCACAAGCGATCTTCACGATCCGCCCTAAGGAATTATCGTCCAGTTTCACTGCTGAGCATAATCTCTAAGATCATGGAGAGCGTTATCAATCGTCAGCTCATGAATCACCTTGAGCGTTACAAACTCCTGACACCCCACCAGTTTGGGTTTCGTCGCCGCCTCGGGACCTCAGATGCGCTACAGGCTCTACACCACGCCTGGATCACAGCCGTCGGCCGAGGCGGTGCGGCACGTATTCTAGCCGTGGATATTGCCGGAGCATTCGACCGTGTGTCCCATGCTGGCCTCCTCCACAAAGTCCGCCATCTTGGCATTGGCGGCCCCCTGCATACCTGGCTCTCTTCCTACCTAGGTGGACGGTCCATTCAATGCTTGGTGGGCGGCCAAACCTCATCGCTGTATACCATATCAGCAGGAGTTCCCCAAGGGAGCATACTCGGCCCTACACTCTTCCTGATTTACGTGAAAAACGCCTCAGAGACCCTGTCACCCGGAGCCCACCTAGAGGCGTACACCGACGATACTACCTTGTACAGCCTGATATCCCTCGACACATCCCCAGCCGACGCAGCATTGAGCCTCCAGACTTCTGTTGCTCGCTTGCATCAGTGGGGCCGCAGATGGCGCATCTCCTTCGAACCGTCGAAGTCCCAA